AGAACAAGAGGGGATATTAATAGGGTATTAAAAGTATCAACACAAGACAGAACACAAACAATGGGTATTGAATAGAAGTGTTATATATATATATATATATATATATATATATATATATATATATATATATATATATATATATATATATAATAATGTATCTACATTTGTGTTCACCATAACGAACCACTAAGTTGGCAGGCCGAGTCAAAAAGCAGCGAAGAGTGGCCACCACACCAGCCAGCCAGCCACTGGCTGCCACTCCTCTTCCCCCCCCCCCCCCTCACCTCACCTCACTCGCCAACATTCTCCTCTCACCATACTGTTTTTGCTTTTATTCACTATATACAGACGTTATATATATATATAAGTATCTGCATGTTTTGTTCACCATAGCAAACCACTAAGCTGGTATAGTAAGTGCAGACAACAACAGGTGGCCACACAGATTCGGCAGACGACACTACAGCCCTCCAACCCCTCTACATTACTCCTCCCACAGTACAGTGCAAATTATCACAATAATCCTGCCTTTATCAGAATCCTTGGGTTATTTTTATCACAGTCAGGAGTCGTCTGTAATACTGTACTATCATTGCTAAATAATACCAGTTACATATATTTTTGACATTTTTAAGCGACACTGCATGCGCCAGCGTTGGTGGCTCACTCAGTACCGAGGCTTTCACACCCGAGAATATTGCCCACAATTTAAAAAAAATATAGTCTGTTTACAAGAGCCCTGAGGAAGGTGATGTGAACCCCCCTGTAGCCGCGGGCCGTTTAAATTTTTGTGCGGTACGCCAAAACGTCATATAAAGGGGTGCTCACTTTGTCAGTTACTCAACACGCCATATGAAGTGTTGCGCAGTTTAAGGGTTAAAATACTTTCCAATAAATGTATGATGAAACATACTAAAATAGATTTTTTCCACAAAATATCCTTGTAAAATAAGGTTGTGTCGTATGTGAGGGTGCGTCTTTTACACTGGCAAATACGGTATTCCATGTGCCTGTAATTTCCTTGCTAGTCTTTCATGTGGTACCTTGTCAAAAGCTTTAGCAAAGTCCATGTAAACTACATTTACCAGAAGTGCTTTGTCTGAATAGTCAGTTACCATTTCCAGAAATGTGCGCAGGTTTGTAAGGCAGGATCTATTATAAACGAAACCATATTACCTGTGTGTGTTGATTTTACAAGGTTGTTCTCTGCGAGACATAGGATGATTATGATATCGAGCTTCCACCATCTTTTTCCTAGCTAAGTGGCGGCCGTACTACAATTTTATTTTTCAGGTATTTTTATTATGCAAGTCAAGTGACCAAATATATATATATATATATATATATATATATATATATATATATATATATATAAATATATATATAAATATATATATAAATATATATATAAATATATATATATATATATATAATATATATATACACTATATATATAAATATATATATAAATATATATATATATATATATATATATATATATATAAATATATATATATATATATATATATATATATATATATATATATATATATATATATATATATATATATATATATATATATATATATTATATATATATATATATTATATATATTATATATATTATATATATAATATATATTATATATATATAATATATAATATTATATATATATATATATAATATTATATATATATATATATATATATATATATATATATATATATATATATATATATATATATATATATATATATAATTTGATAAGGTACAGAGCAATGTGCTGTTACCCTACTCTGTATAAGGTATTAGAGAATAGGTTTGTAGGTACACAGTATCATACTGACATAGCATGTGATGTGAAATAAAATGTGTTTTAGCTTTTATTTCATAAATATAAATGCATCCTTTATATAATGCAAACCAATAATAAATTGCTTAAAAAAAAAGGGGGAAGACATTTCATGGATATACTCTAAATGGACAAATGCTCTGGACCTTTATATGGAAAAAAATGTCTTGGACCAGTTCCAGACATCTGGATAGAAATGCATATTTTGGACCACTAGGATGCATATTCGTGGTGTGTGGATGGAAATGCACATCCAGGACTTGTGGTTGGGAACGCACATTTGAGACCTGTGGACAGAAAACACATATCCGGAACCATTGATGAAATTTACACGGTAGAGACAGTGATTCTTGCATATAATATGCATCCTGGACCTTTCACCAAGAAAACTTGTCCTGAACCTGTATGCACTGTGACTCGGAATGGTAAGCTAGAGGTGAATACTTATTGAAAAGATATACTAATTTGTTGAATACAAAAATTTGGGAAAGGAAGATATGGCTTGCCTCCCTAGTTTGACAGGGTGTGGCATGCCTCCCTAGTTTGACAGGGGTGTGGCTTGCCTCCTTAGTTTGACAGGGTGTGGCTTGCCTCCCTAGTTTGACAGGGTGTGGCTTGCCTCCCTAGTTTGACAGGGGCATGGCTTGCCCCTCTAGTTTGACACGGGTGTGGCTTGCCTTCCTAGTTTGACAGGGTGTGGCATGCTTCCCTCTCTTGAAAGGAAATCTACTTGGATTCCCAAAATGCCTTAAGGATTTAATTTGTCTCCGAGTGCACTATAGATAAGTATTTCAGTGTAATAACCTAATGTCTCTGAAGCCAGGAAGTAATTATTTTTGTTCTTTGAACTTGGTGTCTTAAATAATGAATATGCAGATACAGTAGGTAAAATTGTCATCAGATAGCTGGATAAATAACAAGAGGATCCATCAAATATTATGCATTATGGATAACTACAAATCTGGATGGAATCGGAATTGTAGAAGCATCAGGATTTTATGAAATTTCTCGGCCAAACAATACCACAGGCCATACTGCTGTATAAGCTATGAGTTATGTTCATGTACACTTTTTAAAGCCATTCAAGTGAGTGCATGACCCAGAAAACATATTGGGCACAATGATTGTAAACCTTACATGTTCATTTATCACTGATAGTTGGCAGGATCAGTGCAGAAATACAAAACAGGTAAAATGTATAATCATACTGTACCATGTTTGGGAAGGAAAATGGTGAAATATTTGAGCCGATAAAACAAGGGATGCCATTACAGTGAGTGAACTATTAAACTAGAACTCTCTAATCTAGAACACTGACCTGGGCTCATGTCCCCTATCAAGGCAAGTGAGTCATCTTGTTTCAAGACAATAAAACACTGAAGGTTTTGTCGCAGTGCTGAATACCAGTGAAACTTGCAGTAGGCAAAATGCAAATCCCAGGAATAACAAATGCTTGTCCACAAAACCTTATCACCAGCAAGGAATGAATCCTGAAAAATCTCTGCAGGAAAACCATACTGCAAAAAAAAAAAAAAATAAAATAAAAAAATAAAAAGATTTAAAAATAAAATGATCTCAATATTTACTTCCTCATTATGTTCTTTGTCACATACATGACAACGAACATTGTAAGGGAGTATCGGACAGAGGTAAGTACCGACTTGGTAAGTATTCCATGTTGTAGTTGTAACTAGGTGTATGTGAATACTTCATGACATCTTTGTTTTATTTCTCTCCCATTATATTTATCCTTATTACAGATTTCTCTTATCTTTCCCCTTTCCATTATCTCTTTCTCTCATGTTTCTTCCCTGTTGGTCACCCTTCCTTCCTCACCTTTCTGCTCTCCCCTTTTGTCCCTCTCTCTCTTTGGTTCCTCCTTTCTTATATATCCCTCTTCCTCCTATCTCTCCTCCCTCCCTATCCCTTCTCCCATTCTCTTACCATTATTGCCACATTCTCTATTATCTCTCGCCTTCCTATTCTTTTTAAAGGATCTGGGAATACTAAGTTAAACGACCAAAGCTTTAAGTTTCAGTTTAAGGAAAAGTTTCAACTAGGTTATGAGAAGGTACAGATCCAGAGATTCCGCCACATTGCTCCTATTTTTCAAATCACTTTTGCATTCCCACTTTAAGTACTGCCGAGTACTCGCATCTTCTGGTCAAATGAGATTTTTGTAATAGAAGGAATTCAGAGGATGCAATACAGCACATAGACGCAGTTAAGCATCACTAAGAACATCTCAAAGCTAGTATGACCATAAAACGTGTTAAATTGAGGGCACCGTAGACTTGATTCCCTTTTTGTCTAATTTTCAAATGTGATAGATGAACTTGATTTAATATCAGCTTTTCCAATATCGGGTTTAATTTAATTAAAGTTTAATTCTAAATCACCACATTCAGTAATATGAATCTGTCTCTTTGCTTCGTGATAAGTTGAATGTCCATGCTAAAACTGTTCTCCACCAAATATAAGATTGGAAATGCAGGAATAAGTTTTTTTTTAACTACTTCCACAATGCAGAATAGTGACCAATAATTTCTTTCCTAACCAAAGTTCTTTGGTATGATTTCTAAAAACTTTTGTTTTAGCTTAGCATTATTTTAGCAGTTCAATTAGTTCCGCTACTTTCATATCCCGATGGAGTTAGAGTGGACATGACCCAATCTGGAATATTCAACAAAATAAAAACCTTAAATCTTGAAGATGTATGTTTATGCAACATATATATAAATGGTCACAATAAATACACAGTTCACCGAGAGTGGTCAATTTTAAAGTAATCATTCAACATTTCACTCCACTATGACCTCTCTGCCACCCCCTCATTCCTCTTGGTGCCCCTTCATCATGCTCTTAAGTGTCCCTTGGGGAAATGTACTTTCCAATTTGGGAATCACTGATCCTGATTTACTAATGGATAGATACACAATACGGTTGAGAGGCGGGACCAAGGAGCCGAAGCTCAACCTCCGCATGCACAACTAGGTGAGTACAGTTATTTGCTGTGCACTTTCGCTAACTAGTCCTTGTTATGGAGTGTCTTAAACAAATGAAATTGAATTTTAAGTTTAATAGCTGTTGTAAAATATTGCAAAGTGAAGTTGAAAAGATTAATAATAAATGCAATTTTATCAACAGGACATGGACGAAAAGGACAGCGATGAGGAAACTATCGTTTTTGATGCTGATGTGGCCAGAGTGTACAGAGAGGACCAGGGGACTTCACATGAGTACCCTAGGAATCTTCACGTCACTTCACATATCAGTGATGGCCCCACACAGGAGATGAGGCCAGAAATGTTTATAACCCAGGAGCATAATAATCAGGAGTCAACCACTGCTGCCTCTTTTAGTTCCTGGGATAATCCCACGAAATGCTATCCAAAGCAAAACAGTGGCCTTAGTTCTTGTTCTCAACCACGAGAATACCATCATAAACTAGCAGACAATACTGCTGCCTCCAGTGGCTGGCCTCAACCACAGGCTGACTATCGGAAGCCAAGTAATGTTAGTGCTTCTGACAATTTTCGCCCTCAACCAATAAATAATGTTCAGCCAAACCAGAGACGACTCGATAATCACAGTAATGAAGCCTTAGGTTGGAATATATCTGCCTGGCTTACATCTGTAACAAAAGAAAGCATTAATGGACTCTTGCAACAGCCTACAGTAGAGCAGAGAGATAATGTATCATATTCAGCAAGAGAGAACCAAAGAGATATTTGTGTCACAGAAGAGAGAGAGAGTAATTTGCAGAGACCAATATCGGCATACCCTTTCATTCCTAATACATTGTCAAATGATGGCAGTGAGAGATATCATAATGTGGAAGGAGAGGGTTCTGCAGACTCCAGCAATCCATATCATTCAAATGCATTTTTGTATAATGAACAGCAGAAATTACCTTTCTTAACATTTAAAAACTCAAACAATCGATACAATATAATGAAAATTCAAAAAGAAGTTATTAAGCGAACCTCATTAGGATTAACAGAATTTATGAAGGTAAATGAAAATGTTATCAATAAGAGAGCATGGATGAAGGTAATAACTCCCAGAAGTCAAAGTTCAAATGACTTTAAAAGTGCAACAACTTCAGCTATTCCAGAAAGGCGTTCCACGAACAATTTTCCTGAGCCTACAGTAAATATTCCATCAGTAAAAGAGCTTGAAAACATTTTAAACACAGTTGCTGCTAAAAACAATTACAAAAGCTTGGAACAAACACACAATAAAATGCAAAATCAAAATGTAGAAGAATCTTGTAAAGAAGATAGTGAAATTGAAATTATTTACCCAGGAAACACTTCTTTACAAGATTCTTCTTCAATAGAGAGAGAGAGAATTCCATCACAAGAAACAACCATACCTCCACAAGCTCAACAAGTAAACAATGATTATTTACCAGCTATCTTGGAACAAAAGGATGAGACATTTTCAGAACAAAAACTAAATATTTCTCCAGAAAATAAAGTTAGTGACATTGAGTGTGTGTATATAAGTGATTCCAATTCTCACAAGTCGTCGGAAGAAAATGTAGTTAGTGTGCCAGGGCAAATAGGAAAGAATCTTTCAAAAACAAAACCAGTGAAAAAAGACAATGATTCTATGCAAGATACATCAGTAGTAGAGAGAGAGAGAGTATTGCAGCAACATGTAAGATTTACTTCACATATTCCACCAATTGACAATCAGGACCAAATAGACAGTGACTTTTCTAAAACAGTCTCAGATGAAGAGCTAGAAGGACATTCTCAAAGTTTAGATGCCGAGCAAGATAGATACTCTCGGGTTTCAAGTACAGAGAGAGAAGTACATCATGAGGGACTCAGATCACCCAGAGTCACCTACGACAGAGTAAATAATGAAAAATCCCAATTACCAGTATGTAAATTTTATGTGATTAATAAGTGTGCCAAGGGTAAACGGTGCCCATATAGCCATACGTCTCCAAAGAGAATGTCAACAAAGAACATTGCCTGTCGGTACCATCGCAGTGGTGCATGTACAAGAGGAACCAACTGCTGGTACAGTCATGGAGATGTAGTGGATATGGGGCACAGTAAAGTTGACAAATGTAAAGCAATTCCTGGCAGTAGTAAAGCAGTTAATATAACACTTTGTAGTAATGTTAATACAGCTTCAGGCAATGGAAAAGCATCTTCCAGTAATAGTAAAGGATTTTCCAACAATGATAAACCATCTTCAAGATACGATAAACCATCTTCAAGATATGATAAACCATCTTCAAGATATGATAAACCATCTTCAAGATATGATAAATCATCTTCCATCAATGATAAACCATCTTCAAGATACGATAAACCATCTTCAAGATATGACGAACCATCTTCCAACAATGACAAACCATCTTCAAGATATGATAAACCATCTTCCAACAATGCTGATGCGTCTTCCAACAATGATAAACCATCTTTAAAATACGATAAACCATCTTCCAACAATGACAAACCATCTTCAAGATACGATAAACCATCTTCCAACAATGATGACGCGTCTCCCAGCAGTAGTGATGATGATGACGGTCCTGAGATAGAACATTCTGTGGGAGCATTACTGAACTCTTTAAGATTCTCTACAAAGAGCTCGGCTTCTCCAGCAACTCAAAAAGTCTCGAGTAAAGCTACCCAACAGACTAAAGTCCCAAGTAAAGCTACCCAACAGGCTGAAGTCTCAAGTAAAGCTACCCAACAGATTAAAGTCCCAAGTAAAGCTACCCAACAGGCTGAAGTCCCAAGTAAAGCTGCCCAACAGGCTGAAGTCTCAAGTAAAACTACCCAACAGGCTGAAGTCTCAAGTAAAGCTACCCAACAGGCTGAAGTCTCAAGTAAAGCTACCCAACAGGCTGAAGTCCCAAGTAAAGCTACCCAACAGGCTGAAGTCTCAAGTAAAACTACCCAACAGGCTGAAGTCTCAAGTAAAGCTACCCAACAGGCTGAAGTCTCAAGTAAAGCTACCCAACAGGCTGAAGTCTCAAGTAAAGCTACCCAACAGGCTGAAGTCTCAAGTAAAGCTACCCAACAGGCTGAAGTCTCAAGTAAAGCTACCCAACAGGCTGAAGTCTCAAGTAAAGCTACCCAACAGGCTGAAGTCCCAAGTAAAGCTACCCAACAGGCTGAAGTCTCAAGTAAAGCTACCCAACAGGCTAAAGTCTCAAGTAAAGCTACCCAACAGGCTAAAGTCTCAAGTAAAGCTACCCAACAGGCTGTACCTACATCTGAAGCCACTAGACAGACATTAATATTCCCATCAGCTGAAGCCAACCAACAGACTGTACCACCTGTTAAAGGTTCTCAGAATGTACCTGCTGAAGTAATTCAACAGACTGAGATATGCCTGCCAGCTAAAGCCATTCAACAGACTGTACAACCTATTAAAGAGTCTGAGGCACCTGTACCTACTGCAACAACAGCAGTCCAAGATGTGCAGCTTTCAGTAGATGTCATATCAGATATAATCAGTCAGCTTGAAGCTTTTGATGGCGAGCCAGATTTATCCAATAAAAAAATGGAGCAGTATTCAGGGACAAATAAAGTAAAGCAGAAAAAGAAACATTTTGAAGAGCAAATGTTAACTGACGAAAAAATATCTTCAGTGATAGCTGACACACCCAAGTCTGTTTCACCTGTCGTCATAGAAAAATTATATACTGCTACAAAATTAGGATATAATGAAACTAGAGAAAAGGAAAAGGATAGTGTAGTTAACCACAGCAGAAAATCTTTACAAAAACCCTCACTGCAGCCAAAGTCTAAAAAGGGCGCCTTGTCTCATAAAAAGTTAAGTGTATCAATGAAATGTAAAGATCAAGATTCTTCTAAAGAAACCAAAGGCAAATGTGTTGTTGCAGACATGAATTCAGACAAAACTGCAGAAAACAGTGGGTTATTAAGGAAGAATAATGGTGCTTCTGTAGATACTGGAGAGGAAAGGAAAATGAATTATACACATTCAGACTCTGCAAAAGTTAGCAGAACATTAAAAAGTAGGTTGGATACAGGTGCATACAAAAGTACCAGTGCTAATATTCAGCAGGTCTTTTCTGCAAAAGACTCCAGCAAGACTGGGATAAAGTTAAAAGCTACATATAAAATTAAACCTAGATACAACGTAGAGAGTGATAGCGATGATGCCACATCACTAGACAGGGAAACTCTCAGTTCCAGTGACACCAGTGATAATGAAACATTAAATAGTGAACTTTTGAACAAAAACAAGAGCATAAATTCTAAAGATAGAAGGCTAGTGCTAAATAAACATTGCAGCAGCACTGATAGTAAAAGTACTGCAAGCAGAAGATCAGACAAAAAATGTCTGCGTACGAGTGATAGTGATGAGAGTATTTTAAACAGTAAACATAGAAACAGGCCAAAAAGTGAGAGTGGAAGTGACAGAAAAATGTTGAAAAATCGACATCAAAGCAGCATTGACAGCCAAACCGATGATAGCAGCACATCATACAGCAAAAATCAATGTACCCGTGACTCTGAAGATTTTAATACCTGTGTGTTAAATAATGTCTATCACAAGAGCAATACAAATAGAAAATCAGTTAGTAAACACAGACATGGCTCTGACAAGAAAAATAAGAGTAATTGCCAAAGTATAAGCAGTGATGAGAATGACAAAAGCAGTTCAGTAAGTGGCAAACATCACTTGACAAACAGCAGTAAGAATGATAACAGCACATTAAAGAAAAAACATGAAAACAGTATCGGCAGGAAGACAGACAATGACAGTGATAATGCTGATATTGGCCAACCATCAAGAAGGAAGCGTAAACATAGCAAGGACAAGAGAGAAAGCACTAAAAAACACAGATGTTCATCACCATCAAACGAGATAGGTTCCAGGCGAGAGAAATCGGAATCAAGAGAAAGTAAGAAAGGAACAAAGAGAAGACATGATGCAGAATCTTCCAAACTAGTATCCAAAGATAATCCATCTGGGTCCCCAACAGACCTTTATTCAAACAAGAAACAAAAAAGGAAGGACAATGACTTGATAGTCAGTAAGGCTAAACAGAAGGAAGACATGCATTCAATAAATGAAGATGCAAATATGCTAGAGCATGAAGAAAGCAGCAAAGTGTGTTATGTGATAAAGAGAACTGAAACAAAAATGGTGATTGGAATCAGTAAAGATGCCCAACCAGCACTTAATTTGGGCAAGGAAACCCCAAAAGTTATGCCATATTCTTTCCATGGAGTTCGAAGCAAAGATTTAACACAGCTGTTAACCACAAGTGGTGAGGAGAAAAGTCACGGAGCAAGTTCTGTATCTTTAAGTGATAGTCAGATTGAAGAAGCTACAGGACTGGCTCCTATTAGTGGCAGACACAGTAGCCTAGTAACCAGTGGTAGTTGTCATCCAAATGAGCAACTTACGAGCTCAGTAACCAGTGGTAGTGGTCGTACACATGAGCAACTTAAGAGCTCAGTACCCAGTGGTAGTGGTCGTACACATGATCAACTTACGAGCTCAGTAACCAGTGGTAGTGGTCATCCACATGAGCGACTTACTAGCCTAGTACCCAGTGGTAGTGGTCATCCACATGAGCGACTTACTAGCCTAGTACCCAGTGGTAGTGGTCATCCACATGAGCGACTTACTAGCCCAGTACCCAGTGGTAGTGGTCATCCACATGAGCGACTTACTAGCCCAGTACCCAGTGGTAGTGGTCATCCACATGAGCGACTTACTAGCCCAGTACCCAGTGGTAGTGGTCGTCCACATGAGCGACGTACGAGCCCAGTACCCAGTGGTAGTGGTCATCCACATGAGCGACTTACTAGCCCAGTACCCAGTGGTAGTGGTCGTCCACATGAGCGACGTACGAGCCCAGTACCCAGTGGTAGTGGTCATCCACATGAGCGACTTACTAGCCCAGTACCCAGTGGTAGTGGTCGTCCACATGAGCGACGTACGAGCCCAGTACCCAGTGGTAGTGGCCGTCCACATGAGCGACTTACAAACCCAGTACCCATGAACATAGGTGACCGTGGGTTTGGGTTTCAGCATATTACTAGTGCCCAAAACAATAATATGAAACTGCAAAAAGTTACCAGGCATCTTCTTGGAGAGTATTGCCAACCGAGCATCTGTAATGATCCTTATGTATGCCTTAAGAATTGCTGGCAACGGCTTAATCTGATGCCTTGGGAGGACCCCATGCGCTCTCGGAGCTTCAACTGGGAGTTGAACTTACGAAGGATGATTATGTGTCTCAATATACCCCCCCACCTTGTATCAAAATCCCTCATTTATCAAACCATGGAAGAGGAGCCAAATGTTGCTAAATTTTATGATAATATGCGTGAAGTTAATTAAAAATAAAAGGATACAAAATATGCCTTAATCTTGTATAATGTTAAATTGCTTACATATATATATTTCAAATTACAACGGCTTTTAAATTTACCTATTTATGTATACAATGACCCATTAAAAGATTAAAAAAGAAAAATAAAAAAAAATACAACCTAATGAGATTTGAATGCATATTGGTAGGAGAAAATTATAAAGATGACAAGTTAACCCTCACTATGTGATGAATGTAAACAGTTATGAGGAAGAGGAGCTGACCCTCACTATGTGATAAGTGTTAACCATTTGGATATTTCATGGCCACAAGTTTGGCTAGAATTACTTAATTTCTCCTCTAAAATTTACATCAATGTTCATGCCACAATTGTGCTCTTCAATTGGAATGAGTTCCATTTCTTAAGTAACAATAATTAATTTGATATCAAGCTGATATAAATGGTTACTAATATTTTTCACCTGTAAAGTTATTAACCCATGAAATCACCTAGCTGTCACAGCTGTAAATGCTATGACATTACTTCAGTTCAAAATCCAAATGGAAAAAATAAAACACCATTGAATGTAATGAAACACCTATTTCTGGTAGTTTCAGAGATTCCCTGAAGCAGTCCGCAGAGATGCCTTCCTCATACTGAGTCACCTGACAATATTTATTTATTTATATACAAGAGGGTACAATTACACTAGTACACGCAGCGTTTTGGGCAGGTCCTTAATTTAACAGATAATTTTAAGTAGGTAAATTCTAGCAGAATTAATAAAATGATAACAGATGCATTGCAAGAAAAAAAATGAGATGAGAGAGAGATAGATAATAAGAATATAGTTTGGCCTACTGGGAACGTGGCCCTACTCAGAGAGGCAGAGAGAGCTGAGGATTATTATGATTATCATTGTTTTGTGCGAGATGGTTAAATTATAGCTAGGACGACTGACACTGGAAAAACCTATTTAATAACCACTAAAGCTCAACTCAATTCTTTCCTGAATGATTGTGGAATAGCTGCTGAATAACCAGAATTCAAATTATAATCTTATTTAACTACCAATGTGTACTATAGCTCTGCCTTTCCTTTCAGAAGGTTTTAACTTTATTTAAAAAAAAAAATTGTCATCTTTATTATTGTCTTTTTTTCTTTTTTACTCCCTTGTTCCATAGTACACTGGCTTTGCCTGTGTCCTCTAGTATAAACTTCATTATCCAGTGTACCTGAGTGTATCTCTATTTAATCTACCTCATTTTGTTTTAGTGTAACTTTAGTATTCAACTATAGTGTACTTATAATAGTATAGTAAGCTATTAATTTTATAGATTTCATAATTGCTTTTTGACTTTTATTGGTCATCTATTGTTATTAATTATTCTAGTTCACTTGTACTTTTCTTAAGTTCCCATTAAGTTTTTATTACTTAAATTACCATTAAGTTTATATTACTTTAGAATGTTTATACTACTTTTTCTTTGTAACCCACGTTGCCTAGCCTCACCACCCTTGCTCCATTGTGCACTTGGCTTTGCATTATGTCTCCTAGTGCAAGTTATTACCTTCAGTGTATCTCAAAGTACTTTTAAGCAACCTACCTCATTTTTGTGTATAGTTTTATATAAAAAAAATTCATAGCTAGTTCTTTTATAATTGTCTTTTTTGGCTTTTCTGTAAAACAGCCCTCTTATGCAAACTATTATAGCCCCAGACCTTAACCTCTTATCTAGTATCTATGATAATAATCATAGATACCTATGATATGATATCGAATCATAGATATCTATGACAATAATCATAGATACTATGTTTATACCCCATGTTTTTTCGTTACCTCGGTGAGATTCAACTGCAGCGATCTGGCCTCATGTTTTTTCGTTACCCCAGTGACCCATGCACAGGCATCGCTAATGGTCAATGACGTCATCAGCTGTCCGGCAACCAGGAGGCCTGATCGACGACCGGGCCGCGGGGACGCTAAGCCCCGGAAGCACCTCAAGGTAACCTCAAGGTATCATCACTTTAATGATCAAAATTGCAGGTATTACACAACACATGATGTAAACAATGTTTTAGCGTGTAATCACAATGTTTCTGTAATTAACTTGAATGTAAGATCTCTAAGCAAACACTTTGATGATGTTAATGTCCTGATTCAAATAGTTGACAGCAAATTCTCTTTTGTTGTGTTTACTGAAACGTGGTTAAAAAAGGACACTACTCAACTCTACAACATACCTAACTACTCAGCTATTCACAACTGTCGTCCTATACAAAGAGGTCGTGGTGCTACTCTTTACTACCACCAAGAACTGACTTCCTTAAAAGTAATTAAATCTAGAGACCCTTAAGGCATTTGATAGTTTTTAAAAAAATGTTCAATGTCAACCAATATTTTATGACTAGTTGTATATGAAAAGGGCTGCAATTGTTCCAAGTTTCAGTATTGCAGCCTAGATTGAAAGGGAGATTTTTTATTTTTTTATTTTTTTCAACGAATTTTACACATTTTCAAGTTTAAATTTACAACCACACCTTTCAGATATAATCATTCTATGACACTTTTCTGACACATTAGCATATAATATAGGATCTCAAGGTGGGGATTTTTCAAAACATCTTTAGTTTTCCTAACACAAATAGCCAAAATTCCCCCAAAAATTATGTAAATATATCATGTTTATTGCTATTTATAAAATCAATAAATGAACTTAGGAAAAAACGCTTCAATACGATTGTAGAGACATAAACTTTACATACAAGGTGTAAGTTTCATGTAAATTGAATAAAAATGAAAGAGATATTTGAACATTTATGTTACTTGAAAATAAATAAGAAAAATAAAGTCTAAGGGGCTGCCATCTGTGGCTGAGGTTGACATCAACCAATTTCCTCCAAAATTGGCACCCTTACAGATAGGCTTACGTGCAGTTAGGTGTATAAGTTTCATGCAAATCGCCCAATAAACAAAAGAGAGATAAAATTAAAAAAAAAAAATAACTAATTTTTTTTAATAAAACTAATTATAATTTGTTTTTAATATATGCTACTGTGATAGCTGAGTCATAGACATGATTTCAGTTGACACTTTTGTTTGATAATCATTTTTGACCATTTTCCCACTTCCTATTAATGCTACGATGCTGAGACTTGGACCAGATGAAACCCTTTTCATATTTTATTTATTTTATTTATTTATATATATACAAGAAAGTACATTGGGATTGTGAGGATACATAGCATAGTAATAACATTCTTGTAAAGCCACTAGTACGCACAGCGTTGCGGGCAGATCGTTTCTTCATATACAACACGTCAAAAAAGTTTGATTGAAATCGAATCAGTTTTCATTTATTGCATATTTGGAACAAAAACCATTAAAATGTTCCCTTATGGAGCATTTGACTGTTTCAGAGTCAAGGGTAGCGATGCTGTCCTGACTGCGGGAGCAGTCTGATCGACCCCCTTGCTCTAAATGTCACAGTAAATACTGAGCTAAATAAAATCCATCTCTGGCTAACTGCCAACAAACTCACCCTCAATATTGACAAAACTTTCTATATTCTGTTTGGCAATAAATCCTCTAATCAAATAAATCTCAGGATAAACAATACTCAAATTTGTAACAAAGTACATGGCAAATTCCTTGGCGTTCTCATTGACCACAAGCTGAATTTCCAGGGACACATTCTAAATATATTTAAAAAAAGTTTCAAAAACTGTTGGCATTCTTTCTAAGATCAGATATTATGTACCACGCCCTGCCCTGGTGACTCTCTATTACTCCCTTATCTATCCTTATCTCAACTAAGGTATTTGTGCTTGGGGTTCTACTGATTTCATTTACGTCCTCTAATTACTCAACACAAAGCTGCTATTAGGACAATATCTAATTCTGGTCCCAGACAGCACTCGGTACCCTTACTAAAATCTCTGAATATGTTAGATATTAAGTCACTGCACATCCTCTCATGTATATTTTATATATATAAAACGCTGAACTGTAATGCCAATCCTGACCTTAAAAGCTTCATTGAAGGTTGTAACAGAACCCATGAGCACCACACCAGAAATAAATACAGTTTTGATATTCCAAGAGTACGACTTAATCAAACTAGAAATGCTCTACAAATCAAGGGGCCCAGAATGTGGAATGACCTTCCCAACCATGTTAAAGACTGTACCTCTCTCAACCAGTTTAAGATAAAAACTAAGTACTACCTAATTAACTCAATGTAACCTACCTCGCCCCTATAATGTCAACCTATGTCTACTATTTTAAACAATGCTGTTTGTTGACCAAATTGTAGTTTTGCTAATTTTTCTGCCATGTTCCCCCCCCCCCCCACCTCCCATTTTTTTCTCAACACAATTTATACTTTAATCTCAATTAGTATTAAGTTTTAGTCTTAGTGTTTTTCCTGCCCGAAACGCTTTGCGTAATAGTGGCTTTAGGCATTGTATGTACTAGCTCTATCTATAAATCCATCAATGTTTGTATCTCACCTTGTATGTATGTACCTTCCCTGAATAAATATTTGATTTAATCTCCCAGAAAACAAGTGAAGCAATGCAAACAACATCAAGAATCGCAAAATGAAGCTACAAATAAATGTTAAATAAATAAATAAATGTTTATTTAGGTAAGGTACATACATACAAGAGATTTTACAAAGATTTATGGACTTATAGATAGAGCTAGTACATACAATGCCTAAAGCCACTATTACGCAAAGCGTTTCGGGCAACTATGAAATAATTGAAATAATTAACTATGATAATAATAATTGAAATAATAATTGAATTAATTAAAAGAAATAATAATTGAAATAATCAACTATGAAATAATTTACTCAAAACTATCGAGGACTCCCAAGTTGTAGTGGCTGGTAGCCCCCTGGAGCACCAGGTTCCCACATCACCCATAAGTCACTCCGGAGAGCACAGTCCTTGTGGTCATCATCAACCCTTCAGATTAATTAAAAAAAAATCAGAGTATGAATTATATGCCTGAATTTACCATCTATTTAATGGCCATGACGAGGACAGGAAACCGGCGGCTTGTCAAAGCAGTGCCCCGTGACACAGTGGTAAAACACTCACCCGATGCTTTGCGAGTGCTATGGCCGGGGAGGATTGACTGGGCGCAAGTCCTTAACTGTAACCTCTGTTCACCCAGCAGTGAATTGGTATCTGGTTATTAAAGGATTTAGTGAGTCTTATTTCGGGGAAAAATTAGGATTAAGGACTTGTCCAAAATGCTGTGCATGCTACGGTGTCTTTAAAAGAATCTAAGAGCTCTGGTAAATATGAATAAATACAAATAAAGGTCCTCCCATATTTCCTGAGAATGTGTTAACTGTACAATATTTTCAGCTACAGTAATATCCTGGCATTTAGGGCTTATGGGCAGGAAGGGGTTCATAGGTTTGTAACCTGTGGCTGAAGACCCATCTCCTGTTCTCAGTCCTACATTGTGGAGGCCAACAGTGGCCCTCAGGGCTTACTGTCCCCGTCGACGCCAGTATAGATGGTGGCCCTCAGGGCTTACTGTCCCCGTCGACGCCAGTATAGATGGTGGCCCTCAGGGCTTAATGTCCCCGTCGACGCCACTATAGATGGTGGCCCTCAGGGCTTACTGTCCCCGTCGACGCCAGTATAGATGGTGGCCCTCAGGGCTTACTGTCCCCGTCGACGCCAGTATAGATGGTGGCCCTCAGGGCTTACTGTCCCCGTCGACGCCAGTATAGATGGTGGCCCTCAGGCCTTACTGTCCCCATCGACGTCACTATAGATGGTGGCCCTCAGGGCTTACTGTCCCCGTCGACGCCAGTATAGATGGTGGCCCTCAGGCCTTACTGTCCCCATCGACGTCACTATAGATGGTGGCCATCAGGCCTTACTGTCCCCGTCGACGCCAGTATATATGGTGGCCCTCAGGGCTTACTGTCCCCATCCTGGCCACTATAGATGGTGGCCCTCAGGGCTTACTGTCACAATCCTGGCCACTATAGATGGTGGCCCTGAGGGCTTACTGTCACAATCCTGGCCACTATAGATGGTGGCCCTGAGGGCTTACTGTCACCATCTTGGCCACTATAGATGGTGGCCCTAGGGTAAATTTAGGGAAAAGGAGAAAGAAGATATACGCACTTCAGGGTTATCAGTAGCGAGAGGAACAGCTGATGGAGCCAGCGCTTGTTCCCGGGCGTGCCCTCGTCAAGGTCACAATAGTTCAACATTGTTAACCAGGCGCTGGCCACGGGGTCATGAATGAGAATGTTGTTGTTGATCCGGACAACGTCTTCAGAAGGTCAGATGTAACACACACAAGGAACAACAGTGACAAGCTCAACAAGCCACAATGTAACACAAACAAGGAACAACAGTGACAAGCTCAACAAGCCACAATGTAACACAAACAAGGAACAACAGTGACAAGCTCAACAAGCCACAATGTAACACAAACAAGGAACAACAGTGACAAGCTCAACAAGCCACAATGTAACACAAACAAGGAACAACAGTGACAAGCTCAACAAGCCACAATGTAACACACACAAGGAACAACAGTGTCAAGCTCAACAAGCCACAATGTAACACAAACAAGGAACAACAGTGACAAGCTCAACAAGCCACAATGTAACACAAACAAGGAACAACAGTGACAAGTTCAACAAGCCACAATGTAACACAAACAAGGAACAAGAGTGTCAAGCTCAACAAGCCACAATGTAACACAAACAAGGAACAACAGTGACAAGCTCAACAAGCCACAATGTAACACACACAAGGAACAACAGTGTCAAGCTCAACAAGCCACAATGTAACACAAACAAGGAACAACAGTGACAAGCTCAACAAGCCACAATGTAACACAAACAAGGAACAACAGTGACAAGTTCAACAAGCCACAATGTAACACAAACAAGGAACAAGAGTGTCAAGCTCAACAAGCCACAATGTAGGACTGAGAACAGGAGATGCTTCTTCACTCGCAGGGTTATTAACCTATGGAACCGCCTACCCGCTCAAGCCTTAAATGACAAAACTGTTAAATTTCAAAAAATACATGGAAAAGATAGAACCAAATGGGGAGGGGGTGGACCTTCGACAAGCCGCCGGCTTTCTGTTACCGTCGAGACCACTAGGGTTCGTGGCTTGCAGGTAAATCAGATTAGGAAAGGTAAAGTTAGGTATAGCTTGGAAAGGTTTGGTTTGTGTATGTTAGGTTAGATGTGGATAAGTTAGGCTATGTTATGATAGGTTACATTTGATCAGGCAAGGTTTGGATAGGATAGGTTAGGTTAGGTATAGCTAGGTTAGCTTACATTAAGTTAGGTAAGGTTTGGTTAGATTAGGTAAAGTTAGGTTAGGTAAAGTTAGGTTAGGTTAGCTTACATTAAGTTAGGTAAGGCTTGGTTAGATTAGGTAAAGTTAGGTTAGGTTAGCTTACATTAAGTTAGGTTAGGTTTGGTTAGATTAGGTAAAGTTAGGTTAGGTAAAGTTAGCTTAGGTTAGGTTAGGCTAGGTAAAGGAAGCTCAGGTTAGGTTAGGTAAAGTTAGCTTAGGTAAAGTTAGGTTAGCTTACATAGTTCAGTTCCCTCTGCCTTGCTTCAGTTAAAAAGTGAATCTTGAGAGCAATTCAACTGACAGAAAAATATACAATTGTATATCAGAATAACGCAGCAGCTCGTCTACCTAAGACTCTCCAACATCAAGAAACTGTCGTACTAACGAGCCCTTATCCTAACCTGCCAGAGGACCCAAAACAGAAAACGGGACAATACGTCACTTACACGACCCGCTGCCATTTTCTAGTACGACAAATTTTGACCTTATGTAACGCATACGTCAAAATACGACCTTCTAGCAGGAGGATGGGTTGTTGGCATGGTATGATATCTAACATTTATACATACAGAACAATATACAGTTGTGTATACATACATGCGTATTATGTACGTATGAAGGAAGGGAATTTACCAGGAGAAAGTGCCAAGCCATTACCACTACGTAGCACTTGGAAAGGATCAGCTGTAACAGTTATCAACTGATAAAGTATCGTAAACTCCTTATCCTGTTAAGCTGACTGGTATACATGACCTAATTCTTATATCAAGAGTGAGTTTAAGCTAATATCAAGCTTTACACATGACGATCTGAACCTGTTAGAGCATATATTAGTTTTTTCATAAACATTTAATAGGTTCAAAATGGCACCCCCCATCCCTAGGCTATTGTCGACAGCTGTGGTTTTGTACCGAGTTTCCCACATGATAAACCCCTTCCTCCTCTACCCCCACCTGTCCTGCTACCCCCAATACCCCTTCTCCTCTACCCCCACCTGTCCTGCCACCCCAATACCCTCCTCCTGCGCCCCCAAAATACCCCAACTTTCCCAGCCGGCGCCCCAGGGGCCGCAGTAGCCGGCCGAAGCTTGAGCCAGTCCGTACACTCAGCCATTAGTCTCGCAGTTATGAAATCCTTCTGCCTCGGGTTCCTGTTGCTGGGATATCTCCTAGCTCCCTCCCAGGGGCTCCCAGGTCCCTCCCAGGGGCTCAAACCAGGGGACGATGTTGTCATTGACGGAAGAGGTATGTTTAAGGGGACTGGAATCTCTGTGAGGTTCAGGTTCAAGTATGTTTATTGAGACAAGAAAGAACTACAACTCAAAGGGATAGAGTAGCTTAGGCTATTTCAACCCCCCCCCCCTCTCTGTGAGGTATTAAGTCACCAGAAACGTCCTCAATATGGACTTTTCACCCCCGAAAAACGTAAATATTTTGTTCAATTCATTTTGAAGAGGGTCTGAGAAGGAAGACAATAGCCTAATCTATCTTTCCCTTAGACCTAATATACCACATATGTACTGAATTTGGCTTATTATGTTAGGCCTAGGATTGCTAATTTAGACATAGGATAGGTTGGGTCTATTGTTAGTCTGTTTCAGCTTCTTATAAGCCTTGTAGAATTACCGTAGTTCGAAATGTAATTTTTGGGGTACAACAATGGAAATTGTGTAAATGTCATCCATAGCTGTTATTAGAACTGGCATTTTTAATGGGTTGCTTTTTAATAGTAATATTTTTAGATTTTATGCCTTGACGCTGTATAATTTATATTATTATTATTATTGTTGGTGTACAGAGATCACTATAGGCCTGGCCACCACCTACTTCCTCCGCTCCCTGATGACAACGGCTGATGTGAGTAACTCAACATTCAAAATTCAAAAATTCAAATGTTTATTCAGGTAAAGTACATACCTTGACCTTGAGGTTACCTTGAGGTGCTTCCGGGGCTTAGCGTCCCCGCGGCCCGGTCGTCGACCAGGCCTCCTGGTTGCTGGACTGATACATACATACATACATACATACATACATACATACATACATACATACATACATACATACATACATACATACATACATACATACATACAAGGTGTGATACAAATTGATGGATTTATAGATTGAAATTGAAGTTGAAATAAATTTATTGAGGTAAAATACACACAAAGGGATGAGGTAGCTCAAGCTATTCTCACCCCGTTCAGTACATCGTGTTAATACATACATAGACACACATCACAAACAATAAACATATTACCAAACATTCTGAGAGATTAACATATACATTTCCACCTTTACACAAGTAGTATGGTATCAGACGTACACATAAATACTTTTATGACCTAGGTATACTGTATAGACAATTTGCAAGAGACATGCAGATAATTCAACAGATTTATAGATAGAGCTAGTACATACAATGCCTAAATAAGCCACTATTACGCAAAGCGTTTCGGGCAGGAAAAACACTAAATCAAATTGAAATTCAAATTCAAATGTTTATTCAGGTACAAGTACATACATAGAAGATATGTTACAAACCTAATGTTGGATTTATAGATGGACTTAGTATATACAATATCTAAACCCATGAGTATCACACCAGAAACAAATACCTATTTGATATTCCAAGAGTACGACTTAATCAAACTAGAAATGCTTTACAAATCAAGGGACCCAGAATGTGGAATGACCTTCCCAACCATGTTAAAGACTGTACCTCTCTCAACCAGTTTAAGAGTAAAACTAAACACTACCTAGTTAACTCCCTGTAACCTTCCTTACCCCTAAATGTCAACCCACGTCTTGCTATTTTAAACAATGCTGTTTGTTGACCAACTTGTACAATTGATGATTTATGCCATGTTCCCCCAATTTTTTTATTATTAATTCTTTTTTCTACACAATTTATACTTTACTCCCACTTACTATTATTGTACACACTTACTATTATTGTACACACTTACTATTATTGTACACACTTACTATTATTGTACACACTTACTATTATTGTACACACTTACTATTATTGTACACACTTACTATTATTGTACACACTTACTATTATTGTACACACTTACTATTATTGTACACACTTACTATTATTGTACACACTTACTATTATTGTACACACTTACTATTATTGTACACACTTACTATTATTGTACACACTTACTATTATTGTACACACTTACTATTATTGTACACACTTACTATTATTGTACACACTTACTATTATTGTACACACTTACTATTATTGTACACACTTACTATTATTGTACACACTTACTATTATTGTACACACTTACTATTATTGTACACACTTACTATTATTGTACACACTTACTATTATTGTACACGCGCCACAACACTTCCGGAACAAGTGCTTCGCTGACGACTTTTGTTCGAACCCCAACGCTGGAAAGGCTTCACCCACACACTAGACACAAACAATCTCTAGGACTAGGATGGTCCTAGAGAGACCTGGTCCTATAAGGTGTATTGTGATGGTCTAGGGCACTTCTAGAGAGGACCTTTAGGCTCGTAACTTATATTAGGAAGACCTTCCTGGTGTGTGTGGAGTCTGCCTCCCCCACACCTGCTAGTGTAGAGGTGGCAGTCTTGCATTACAGACATTGTAATACCGTTGCAGATATTCTTGAAGATCATCAACATTCTCCTGCCGGGCCCCGACGACGAGGTGGACTACTTCGAGGTGATCAAGGAGGACGTGGAGACGGTGGTCGGGGACTACATCGACCAGCACAACATGGACCAGCTCGAGGTCTACAAGAGTGACCTGGGCGTCTTGCTGCGCAGGTCAGAGGCTGGTAGACGCTGGGGGAGGCTGGTAGAACCTGGGCGAGGCTGGTAGACGCTGGGCGAGGCTGGTAGAAGCTGGGCGAGGCTCGTAGACGCTGGGCGAGGCTGGTAGACGCTGGGGGAGGCTGGTAGAAGCTGGGGGAGGCTAGTAGAAGCTGGGAGAGGCTGGTAGAAGCTGGGCGAGGCTCGTAGACGCTGGGGGAGGCTGATAGAAGCTTGGGGAGGCTGGTAGACGCTGGGGGAGGCTGGTAGAAGCTGGGGGAGGCTAGTAGAAGCTGGGGGAGGCTGGTAGACGCTGGGGGAGGCTGGGCGAGGCTGGTAGAGGCTGGGCGAGGCTGGTAGAAGCTGGGGAAGGCTGGTAGACGCTGGGGGAGTCTGGGCGAGGCTGGTAGAGGCTGGGGGAGGCTAGAAGCTGGGGGAGGCTGGTAGACGCTGGGGGAGGCTGGTAGAAGCTGGGGAAGGCTAGTAGAAGCTGGGGCAGGCTGGTAGACGCTGGGGGAGGCTGGTAGACGCTGGGGGAGGCTGGTAGAAGCTGGGAGAGGCTGGTAGACGCTGAGGGAGGCTGGTAGACGCTGGGCGAGGCTGGTAGAAGCTGGGCGAGGCTGGTAGACGCTGGGCGAGGCTGGTAGACGCTGGGGGAGGCTGGTAGAAGCTGGGCGAGGCTGGTAGACGCTGGGGGAGGCTGGTAGAAGCTGGGCGAGGCTGGTAGACGCTGGGGGAGGCTAGTAGACGCTGAGGGAGGCTGGTAGACGCTGAGGGAGGCTGGTAGAAGCTGGGCGAAGATGGTAGACGCTGGGGGAGGCTGGTAGACGCTGGGGGAGGCTGGTAGACGCTGGGGGAGGCTGGTAGACGCTGGGGGAGGCTGGTAGACGCTGGGAGAGGCTGGTAGACGCTGGGGGAGGCTGGTAGACGCTGGGGGAGGCTGGTAGACGCTAAGGGAGGCTGGTAGACGCTGAGGGAGGCTGGTAGAAGCTGGGCGAGGCTGGTAGACGCTTAGGGAGGCTGGTAGACGCTGGGGGAGGCTGGTAGACGCTAAGGGAGGCTGGTAGACGCTGAGGGAGGCTGGTAGACGCTGAGGGAGGCTGGTAGACGCTAAGGGAGGCTGGTAGACGCTGAGGGAGGCTGGTAGACGCTGAGGGAGGCTGGTAGACGCTAAGGGAGGCTGGTAGACGCTGAGGGAGGCTGGTAGACGCTGAGGGAGGCTGGTAGACGCTGAGGGAGGCTGGTAGACGCTAAGGGAGGCTGGTAGACGCTGAGGGAGGCTGGTAGACGCTGGGGGAGGCTGGTAGACGCTGGGGGAGGCTGGTAGACGCTGAGGGAGGCTGGTAGACGCTGAGGGAGGCTGGTAGACGCTAAGGGAGGCTGGTAGACGCTGGGGGAGGCTGGTAGAAGCTGGGCGAGGCTGGTAGACGCTGGGGGAGGCTGGTAGACGCTGAGGGAGGCTGGTAGAAGCTGGGCGAGGCTGGTAGACGCTGGGGGAGGCTGGTAGACGCTGAGGGAGGCTGGTAGACGCTGAGGGAGGCTGGTAGACGCTGAGGGAGGCTGGTAGACGCTGGGGGAGGCTGGTAGACGCTGGGCGAAGCTGGTAGACGCTGGGGGAGGCTGGTAGAAGCTGATGGAGGCAGGTAGACGCTGGGCGAAGCTGGTAGACGCTGGGGGAGGCTGGTAGAAGCTGATGGAGGCTGGTAGACGCTGGGCGAGGCTGGTAGAAGCTGGGGGAGGCTGGTAGAAGCTGGGCGAGGCTGGTAGAAGCTGGGGGAGGCTGGTAGAAGCTGGGGGAGGCTGGTAGACGCTGAGGGAGGCTGGTAGACACTGGGGGAGGCTGGTAGAAGCTGGTAGAAGCTGGGCGAGGCTGGTAGACGCTGAGGGAGGCTGGTAGACGCTGGGGGAGGCTGGTAGAAGCTGGTAGAAGCTGGGCGAGGCTGGTAGACGCTGGGGGAGGTTGGTAGAAGCTGTAGGTCCACTACCACCACCCAGGGGTGGAGGTGCATATAATAACTTATTTATTTATTTATTTATTTATTTATTTATTTATTTATTTATTTATTTATTTATTTACTTATTTATTTATATACAAGAAGGTACATTGGGAGTTAAGACAGTACAAAGAAATTATGCTGATTTGACATTCTTGTTAAGCCGCTGGCGCGCATAGTGTTTCCGGCAAGTCCTCATACTAACAGATAATTTTAAGTAGATAATTTACAGTAAAATTGACAAAAAAATTTACAGGTACATTGTTAGAAATTTTGACACAATAAAGAAAGATTAGAATAATAACAATAATAACAATAATAACAATACACAAGAGTGAACAAGGATTACTAGGCACATTAGGATAACATTTCAGGGTTATACAATGGTTCACTGTACCACAATATGAGGATCACTTCAAGGAATAATGCAGTAGAATATCCTCTCAATACAACAACCATGATATCAGATGATATCTAAGATTACAATGGTAAAGTTGGCTTAGGTACATATATTGGGGGATCGGGCAGCACTAGACACAGTGGGAAGATAAAGCAACAAGGTAGGAAACTATGAAGATGAAATTAGGTACTTTTTGGTTTTATTTTTGAATAAGGCAAAAGTTATGAGTTTTTCAGTTCATTAGGGAGTGAGTTCCATAGACTGGGTTCCTTAATTTGCATAGAGTGTTTACACAGATTAAGTTTGACTCTGGGGGATATCAAAGAGATATTTATATCTGGTGTGGTGATAATGGGTTCTATTACATCTGTCCAGAGAGAGTTTCAGAGCAGGATTTGCATTTAAGAACAGGGTTTTGTGAATGTAGTTGACACAAGAGAATGTGTGGAGGGAGTTAATATTTAGCAAGTTTAGGGATTTAAACAAGGGAGCTGAGTGTTGTCTGAAAGCTGAGTTAGTTATCATTCTGATAGCAGATTTTTGCTGGGTGATGATGGGCTTAAGGTGATTTGCAGTGGTAGACCCCCATGCACAGATACCATAATTAAGATAGGGGTAGATTAGTGCATAATATAGTGAGATGAGAGCAGAGTTAGGAACATAATATCTTATTTTGGAGAGTATACCAACTGTCTTAGAGACTTTCTTAGTTATGTGTTGAATGTGGGTGCTGAAGTTGAGTCTCTTGTCTAGGAATAGACCAAGAAACTTGCCATCATTTTTATTACTGATGTTGGCCAACAGCTAGCATCAGGGTGTATCACAATTAGTGGAGATCGGGTGGGCCCGGCCCCCAATGAGAACATAGAACAATATTAATATAGTGGCTTAAGGTCCATACGTCAGCCTAGAGGTTTGATCACTGATCCCCCTAGACAGGAAGAATGGATACTCCTTTATAACTAACTTATTTCTCAACCCCTCTTAACAACCCCCCATATACCAATATGGGGGGTTTACCAACAATAACAATAACTGCTTTACCACACTATCTTACGTTAAAAGCCTTGGTCCACATAAGCAGGACACAAGGTTTTACAATTAGGATAAGCTAGGGTAAAGTCTACTTGTAAAGAACTCTGAAGCTTGCAGCAGCTTGGGGCAGTGAGCCCCTCGTGGGACCCTATCACCACACAACACTTAGCGATGCCCAAAACACTGGCTTATACTACACAATCTCACAAACCTAGCTAGTAGCATGGTAACACAGGTTTTGTACTGATCTTAGTAGTGTATAGTAGCTTAAGGTAAAGGAAGGGAGAAGGAGGAGGAGAATCGAGTCAGAGCCCCACAGGAAGATGTTGTCACCACACAACCAGAACAGAGAAGAACGACCCAGCTCCTCCTGCCTCCCACTCACTTGCTGCCGGAGGATCTTCAGCTGATCGTACAGCAGACATCAACCCAAGTTTACTCAGACCTTCCTTACTATTTCCCTTAAACATTCTAAGAATTGCTGATAATTAGTTCACTTATAATTAATGAACAACAAGCTCAAGTCTAAATGCTCTGTGAGAAACAAGATTCGTCTTACGTCTGGCAAGGAAGATAGGAACAAACGAGCATCAGCAATCCTCTCAAATAATGTACTATTGCGCTCCCGCCCCCCTTGACAGGTACTACGAGGCCCCCACTAACCCCCACCCCCCCTTGACAGGTACTACGAGGCCCCCACTAACCCCCACCCCCCCTTGACAGGTACTACGAGGCCCCCACTAACCCCCACCCCCCCCCTTGACAGGTACTACGAGGCCCCCACTAACCCCCACGTACCCCCCTTGACAGGTACTACGAGGCCCCCACTAACCCCCACCCCCCCCCTTGACAGGTACTACGAGGCCCCGGTAGAGAGCAGCACTTACCCGGACAAGAACACCGTTGCCAACTCCCTCTCCACCTCCATCGTTGCCAACCGCTACCTGGTGGAGGCCGGGGAGCGGCCACAGTCAATGATCATCCACTACGGCGACATTGCCTCCATCCACATCCTCGCCCTCCAGGTATACGTCGTCCTTGAGGGGTCGTAGGTCGCCCTCCAGGTATAGGTCGTCCTTGAGGGGTCGTAGGTCGCCCTCCAGGTATACGTCGTCCTTGAGGGGTCGTAGGTCGCCCTCCAGGTATACATCGTCCTTGAGGGGTCGTAGGTCGCCCTCCAGGTATACGTCGTCCTTGAGGGGTCGTAGGTCGCCCTCCAGGTAGGTCCTCGACGGGTCGTAGGTCGCCCTCGGTGGGAGACTGAACTCGGGTCAAGTATCTTTGGCTCTCCCTCAAGGTCAGCCTCGATCTTGTCCTCAAGGTCGCCCTCAAGAATTTAATTATGGGTCGTCCTCGAGGTGAGTGAGTGATATTGGGAGCGGAGAGAGGGGGGAGCTTCGTCAGACCGCTGGCTTCCTGTCCCGCGAGACCACTAGAGTCGGTGGCCTTCGGGTAAATTAAGGTAAAATTCTACAGGTTGTGCGCCTCAAGGGCGTAGAACACATTACAACTGACTGACAGCGTCCAAGTCAACTGACATGATTTAAAGATTCAAATTCAAATTTTTAAATTCAAAATTCAAAAATTATTTGAAATTATTTGAGATTTGACTTCGACGTTCGTTAGTAATATAACTTTATATATTACTTTTATCAAGGTAATTCTCAAAGTTTATATCAGAAGGACAAATAAGAACTCTTATGTTAATATATAACTCAAGAGCTTCCAGCCACATCAAGTTGTAACTCCAGTGTCTCCCTCACTGCTGCCCAACAGTTGCTACTTCTTAAATTTACCTGAGAGTCACTAAGACTCTAGTGGCCTAGACGAGGATAGGAAGCCGGCGGCTTGTCAAAGGTCCCAAAATATCCTAACTTGTTGAAATTTCACAAACTAGCAAACTGTTATTCAAGGTCGACCTCCACTAACGTGGTCCTCGACCCCCCTGAAGGTGGACCTCCATTAACGTGGTCCTCGACCCCCCCCCCTGAAGGTGGACCTCCACTAACGTGGTCCTCGACCCCCCCCTGAAGGTGGACCTCCACTAACGTGGTCCTCGACCCCCCCCTGAAGGTGGACCTCCACTAACGTGGTCCTCGACCCCCCTGAAGGTGGACCTCCACTAACGTGGTCCTCGACCCCCCCCTGAAGGTGGACCTCCACTAACGTGGTCCTCGACCCCCCTGAAGGTGAACCTCCACTAACGTGGTCCTCGACCCCCCTGAAGGTCGACCTCCACTAACGTGGTCCTCGACCCCCCTGAAGGTGGACCTCCACTAACGTGGTCCTCGACTCCCCCCCCTGAAGGTGGACCTCCACTAACGTGGTCCTCGACCCCCCTGAAGGTGGACCTCCACTAACGTGGTCCTTGACCCCTCAGGACGTGGCCGAGACATACAGCACCTACGGCGACGTCTCAAGATGGTGGGTGGACCTCAACGACCAGCTCGCCCACTACATCGACCACGGTCGTCGCCTCCAGGACGACGTCGTCGACTGGCGGAACGACATGGTACAGTTGGCCTTCTTCCGCCTCTCTGGTAGTTCTCTTATAACACTAAATCAACATAGATATAATTATTAAATGATCATAACATTTTCTTACCCTTAAAGAGTGTCAATAGTGTGTAGTCCGATGGGTTGAAATGTTAATATTATGAACAAATCCACTAGGGCCGTGATGAGGGTTCGAACTTACGTCCGGGATGATCCTAAATGCGCTTTAGTCACGCTATTGATATATAAATTTGATATATCATGCTACTGTGATTTCTGTGTGTTAATATAATGGTTTCATCTTCCCTGTTGCAGATGACGTGTAGCTACGACGAGGGTAATAAATACGACACTTGGACTGTAAGTATTGTTACACATGCCATGACCTCTGTAACGTACGTTTATGTTACGTTGTATTGTTACACATGCCATCACCTCTGTACCGTACGTTTATGTTACGTTGTATTGTTACACATGCCATCACCTCTGTACCGTACGTTTATGTTACGTTGTATTGTTACACATGCCATCACCTCTGTACCGTACGTTTATGTTACGTTGTATTGTTACACATGCCATCACCTCTGTACCGTACGTTTATGTTACGTTGTTGGGTAGATTACATACACAGTGTTTAGTGAGTTTTATATTTATTTAGTAGTCCTGGATACAGCAGTGTCGTAGACGTTGAGACGGAGCCTGGAACAGAGCAGAGAGCTGAGTGTGGCCGGAGTCGCGGAGCTCTATGTGGGAGAGCGTGGCGGCTCGATGGGGAATTGTGAGTGTCTGAACTCAGGGAGCTAGAGTGTGGCGGCTCGATGGGGAATTGTGAGTGTCTGAACTCAGGGAGCTAGAGTGTGGCGGCTCGATGGGGAATTGTGAGTGTCTGAACTCAGGGAGCTAGAGTGTGGCGGCTCGATGGGGAATTGTGAGTGTCTGAACTCAGGGAGCTAGAGTGTGGCGGCTCGATGGGGAATTGTGAGTGTCTGAACTCAGGGAGCTAGAGCGTGGCGGCTCGATGCGGTCGTAATCTGCTGTCTGCTCTGTGTCGAAGCTGTGACAAATTGCTACCCAAATTCCACAGCGACTTATACAGATGAGTCTGGCATCCTCATGAACAACGTCCCCTCGGTCACCAGCGCTGTATGGGTACCGGAATACCATCTCCAGCAAGGATGGCGGTTACCAAACCAACTATCTATTTTCACAGCTGAATTATATGGCTTATATCAAGCATATCAAGTTCTCCAAATAATCACAACATTACCAGTTGGGACTTATACAATCTGCAGTGACTCCAAGAGTGCGGGTCAAGCATTACTCTTCAACAACGTGTAAGGAGTTTGTCTACCCAGGTCTTCAACTTCTTCATGAACATCTATTGAACGGTTATGACACCTCTACCCAATGGTCTCAGCGCCTTGTGGTATGTGGTCAGGCCCCAGTACACAGGCCCCTGACGGTTCAGTAGACATCGCTCAGGACTCGTAGTTCTAAGGTTCTTGGTGCGATCTCCGGCGGAGGCGGAAACAAATGGGCAGTTTCTTCCACCCTGATGCTCCTGTTCACTTAACAGTAAATAGGTACCTGGGAGTTAGACAGCTGCTACGGGCTGCTTCCTGGGGATGTGTAACAAAAAAGGAGGCCTGGTCGAGGACCGGGCCGCGGGGACGCTAAGCCCCGAGATCACCTCAAGAATGCCTCAAGACACTCCAAAATGAACGTGTAGACCAACTAACCAGAGTGATGCACACATTACCCGTCATCCAAGCCCTCAAGTTGCACATAAAGGATCTTCAGAGAACCATCACCCAAGATTTTGTAATGAAATGGAAAACGTCAAACATGCTCACCTTTGTACTACGGGTCCATAAAGAGGCTAAACCTTCCCTGCACACTGTGCAGGCCAGCAAGATGAAGGATGGTAAGTGTTCCCCGAGGCGGAGCTCCTGGTCCACCTTGAGGACGCGTGGCGGACACATGCGCCGCCGCAAGTAGCACGGGCTATGGTGAACCCGTAGTGGACTTACCAGGCACAGGAGAGGGCCAAGAAGCACGGGCTATGGTGAACCCGTAATGGACTTACCAGGCACAGGAGAGGGCCAAGTAGCACGGGCTATGGTGAACCCGTAATGGACTTACCTGGCACAGGAGAGGGCCAAGTAGCACGAGCTATGGTGAACCCGTAGTGGACTTACCTGGCACAGGAGCGGGGCAAGTAGCACGGGCTATGGTGAACCCGTAATGGACTTACCAGGCACAGGAGAGGGGCTAGTAGCACGGGCTATGGTGAACCCGTAATGGACTTACCAGGCACAGGAGAGGGGCTAGTAGCACGGGCTATGGTGAGCCCGTAGTGGACTTACCTGGCACAGGAGAGGGCCAAGTAGCACGGGCTATGGTGAGCCCGTAGTGGACTTACCTGGCACAGGAGAGGGCCAAGTAGCACGGGCTATGGTGAACCCGTAGTGGACTTACCTGGCACAGGAGCGGGGCAAGTAGCACGGGCTATGGTGAACCCGTAGTGGACTTACCTGGCACAGGAGCGGGGCAAGTAGCACGGGCTATGGTGAGCCCGTAGTGGACTTACCTGGCACAGGAGCGGGGCAAGTAGCACGGGCTATGGTGAACCCGTAGTGGACTTACCTGGCACAGGAGAGGGGCAAGTAGCACGGGCTATGGTGAACCCGTAGTGGACTTACCTGGCACAGGAGCGGGGCAAGTAGCACGGGCTATGGTGAGCCCGTAGTGGACTTACCTGGCACAGGAGCGGGCAATTAGCACGGGCTATGGTGAGCCCGTAGTGGACTTACCTGGCACAGGAGAGGGCCAAGTAGCACGGGCTATGGTGAACCCGTAGTGGACTTACCTGGCACAGGAGAGGGCCAAGTAGCACGGGCTATGGTGAACCCGTAGTGGACTTACCTGGCACAGGAGAGGGCCAAGTAGCACGGGCTATGGTGAACCCGTAGTGGACTTACCAGGCACAGGAGAGGGGCAAGTAGCACGGGCTATGGTGAACCCGTAATGGACTTACCAGGCACAGGAGAGGGGCTAGTAGCACGGGCTATGGTGAGCCCGTAGTGGACTTACCTGGCACAGGAGAGGGCCAAGTAGCACGGGCTATGGTGAGCCCGTAGTGGACTTACCTGGCACAGGAGAGGGCCAAGTAGCACGGGCTATGTTGAACCCGTAGTGGACTTACCTGGCACAGGAGCGGGGCAAGTAGCACGGGCTATGGTGAACCCGTAGTGGACTTACCTGGCACAGGAGAGGGCCAAGTAGCACGGGCTATGGTGAGCCCGTAGTGGACTTACCTGGCACAGGAGCGGGGCAAGTAGCACGGGCTATGGTGAACCCGTAGTGGACTTACCTGGCACAGGAGAGGGCCAAGTAGCACGGGCTATGGTGAACCCGTAGTGGACTTACCAGGCACAGGAGCGGGGCAAGTAGCACGGGCTATGGTGAACCCGTAGTGGACTTACCAGGCACAGGAGCGGGGCAAGTAGCACGGGCTATGGTGAGCCCGTAGTGAACTTACCAGGCTGCGCCATTAGGCTGCGCCATTAACCCTTGACGGGTACGTCGGGGCGTGTCCGGGTCCCACGGCCGTCGTCGCTCCTAAACCATTAATAACAACAACATTCATTACAGGTGACAGACCAGGTGTCCGGGGTGGTTGACACCTGTATGCAGGTCCATGGTACTCACAGCTGTGACGACCACTGCCAAGCCTATCAGGTGAATTGAGTCGTGAGTTAGTGTCCCGTTGCAACCCGTTCTCGCACTTGCTTATAGTCAATATCTTGCTTATGAATAAATGCATATGTGACATACTAATTTATTGTGAATATTTGAGATTACCTTGAAAAGCTGAATAGAAAACTACAACCTAACCTTAGTATGTTAAGATAATGGATATGACTTATTGCTTAGTCGATATTTTGCTTATGAATAAGTACCTATGTGGTATATTCGAAATTACATATTTTTTCAAGGCACTAACTCTTCCTTACGATTTACTGTAATCAAGTTTTAAATATTAAGAATGTCTTTTTTCAGTTTTATTAAAAATAGAGATTTTATACAAAATTTGACAATATCCTGAGTTACTTTACAATATATTTAAATATTTTAGTTTTGTTTTATTATTTTAATAAAACTGTAATATCAATATAGGTATAGGTTCAGTACTAATTGTAATTAAGAAGCAATAAAATGCTTATCTTAACATACTAAGAAGATTAGGTCGTGGTTTTCTATTCAGCTTTTCAGGTAAACTCCAATATTCACAATACATTAGTATATCACATTTGTACTTATCCATAAGCAAAGTATTGACTATAAGCAAGTGCGAGAACGGGTTGCCCTAAGATGACCAGTGCCCCGGGGCAGTGACCAGTGCCCCGGGGCAGTGACCAGTGCCCCGGGGCAGTGACCAGTGTTCTGTGATAATTCCCTACAGACAGTAAAACAGAATAGGAGAAGTGCATCACACTGTCTCATTGTGCACCATTTTATACTGCCTGTGTAATCATAACGTATCACTATGTAATGGTGAGAAGGACTACAGGTAGTGTCTGGTCTCGGCAGATCTCCATGAACAGGGAAGTGTCGCTCTTCGTGTGGAACTACTTGGGCAAGAGTATACGGCAGTGGGAGCTGCTGAAGATCAAGGCTGCCCGCCTGGCCGGTATGGTCGACAGGTCAGTGAGGCAGGGAGGGGTTACAGGTCAGTGAGGGGGGGAGGGAGGGAGGGAGGGAGGGAGGGGTTACAGGTCAGTGAGGGGGGGAGGGAGGGAGGGAGGGAGGGAGGGGTTACAGGTCAGTGAGGGAGGGAGGGAGGGAGGGGTTACAGGTCAGTGAGGGGAGGGGGGGCAGGGAGGGAGGGAGGGGTTACAGGTCAGTGAGGGGAGGGGGGGGGAGGGAGGGAGGGAGGGAGGGAGGGGTTACAGGCCATTGAATAATATGAACAAAAACCACTTAATTATTTCTGGGGGACTTTAATATTGACCTCTGCGAGCCTGATAACCCTTCTGCTGTTAGCTTCCTCAACTGTATGAATTCCTGCTTCCTCATACCCTTAATCACTAGACCTACTAGAATCACTGATAGTACTGCCACGGCTCTTGATCACATCTGGACCAATATAACCTCTCCGTTTACTTCAGGTATAATCACTGATAGCACTACAAACCATTACCCCACATTTCTCCTAACATTAGCAAACCACCTCTAGAGACAAGGAAGATAAGCTTTAGGCTGCACAATGAAACTGCTATAGACAATTTTATAACTGCTGCCGCTAATGTCAACTGGGAGTCCGAGTTAGGTAACATAGGGGACATCAACCTATGCATAAGCCTAGCATGTACTGTATACATATACTGGCTGCCTGTCCCCCCCCCCACAATGAATTATTATGTTCCTATAATTGGTCAGATGTGGTATCCGCATGAGTGTGTGAACTCGTATTGTTAACGTCATGACAATAGTTTTAAGTTAATGATGTTTAATCTACATGAAGCACCTATTACAGTACAGCAAATCTATAACTGCAGTGTTCTTTCTCTCTTGGCAGAGTGGTAGAGTCATGAGCACTGAGAGGTCCCTCCACCACCCACCCCAGACACCTGGCCAATGGAGAATTGTGTTTTTATTCAGGTCAATAATACAGTATCATCAAGACACTTGAATTTGTTTTTATTCCTGTATTATGTGGCGCGGAGGTGTTCTGTTGTGGCCTTAATTAACCGGAAGTCCATCATATCTCTAGTGTACTCAACGAGGACAAGAAGCCGGCAACGTATGAAGGCCATCCGCCTACATTTGTTAAATTGTCCAACTGGATAGTGAACTGCAGTAATGTCCTTGATATTTTGGGCTTGGGCGGGTAGGCGGTTCCATGGGTGACAAAAGCCCCCCTGTTCTCAGTCCTACATTGTGGCTTGTTGAACTTGACACTGTTGTTCCTTGTTTGTGTTACATTGTGGCTTGTTGAACTTGACACTGTTGTTCCTTGTTAGTGTTACATTGTGGCTTGTTGAGCTTGTCACTGTTGTTCCTTGTTTGTGTTACATTGTGGCTTGTTGAGCTTGTCACTGTTGTTCCTTGTTTGTGTTACATTGTGGCTTGTTGAGCTTGTCACTGTTGTTCCTTGTTAGTGTTACATTGTGGCTTGTTGAGCTTGTCACTGTTGTTCCTTGTTTGTGTTACATTGTGGCTTGTTGAGCTTGTCACTGTTGTTCCTTGTTTGTGTTACATTGTGGCTTGTTGAGCTTGTCACTGTTGTTCCTTGTTTGTGTTACATTGTGGCTTGTTGAGCTTGACACTGTTGTTCCTTGTTTGTGTTACATTGTGGCTTGTTGAACTTGACACTGTTGTTCCTTGTTTGTGTTACATTGTGGCTTGTTGAGCTTGTCACTGTTGTTCCTTGTTTGTGTTACATTGTGGCTTGTTGAGCTTGACACTGTTGTTCCTTGTTTGTGTTACATTGTGGCTTGTTGAGCTTGTCACTGTTGTTCCTTGTTTGTGTTACATTGTGGCTTGTTGAGCTTGTCACTGTTGTTCCTTGTTTGTGTTACATTGTGGCTTGTTGAGCTTGTCACTGTTGTTCCTTGTTTGTGTTACATTGTGGCTTGTTGAGCTTGTCACTGTTGTTCCTTGTTTGTGTTACATTGTGGCTTGTTGAGCTTGTCACTGTTGTTCCTTGTTTGTGTTACATTGTGGCTTGTTGAGCTTGTCACTGTTGTTCCTTGTTTGTGTTACATTGTGGCTTGTTGAGCTTGTCACTGTTGTTCCTTGTTTGTGTTACATTGTGGCTTGTTGAGCTTGTCACTGTTGTTCCTTGTTTGTGTTACATTGTGGCTTGTTGAGCTTGTCACTGTTGTTCCTTGTTTGTGTTACATTGTGGCTTGTTGAGCTTGTCACTGTTGTTCCTTGTTTGTGTTACATTGTGGCTTGTTGAGCTTGTCACTGTTGTTCCTTGTTTGTGTTACATTGTGGCTTGTTGAGCTTGTCACTGTTGTTCCTTGTTTGTGTTACATTGTGGCTTGTTGAGCTTGTCACTGTTGTTCCTTGTTTGTGTTACATTGTGGCTTGTTGAGCTTGTCACTGTTGTTCCTTGTTTATGTTATATCTGACCTTTTGAAGACGTTGTCCTGATCAACATCCTCCAAATTGTTCAGTATTTTAAACGTACCGGTGAGGTCCGCCCTGTCATGCCTGGTTTGCAGTGTTAGCCCTGTGGCCCTCAACCGCTCCTGATACGAGATGACTTGCCTCTGGAATGATTTTCCCACAGGCAGCTAAGTACATGGAGTCCAAGCATGTTATAGCAAAACCAAAGTAACCGACCTAAATCAACTCATTCCATCTCAAATACGTTTCAAAACAATCCTCTACGGTGTGAGTACCAGTACATGTTGCCGCCACCGCGCTGCCTGACGCAAGTTTCTTCTCAACATATACCCCTCAGTCCATTCTAACCAATCATGTCTCCTAAAAATGTGACTGTGCAGGGAAATAAGGGCAACAAACCCCCTAACAAGACATCCATCCCGGCCAACAATAACAATATCCGTGTTTCTCCGTCTGGAAGCTCTGGGGTCCGGGGTGGCGGGGCTGCCCTCCCCTCCACCCCATTGAGCAAAGGAGCAGAGTCCTCTCAACCCTCTCCTATGAACATGCTAGCATCCCAGTATAATCAACTCAAGCGAGCTTCCGGTCCCTCACCGGAATTCACTAACTGGACCGAGAATCTGTGGTTCAAAAAGTTGTGCCTAGTCCTCGAATCACAAAATTCTATCATCTTGAGTCTTCTCAACGAGAATCTAGCGAACCGCGCTAATCTCCAACAACAACAACAAGAAATAACCCTCCTCCGCGAGGATATTAGAAACTACAAGGCTAGCCAAGACCAACTACAGCATGATTTGAATGATCTCCATGAGGTAAACAACCTTCGGAAAACTGATGAAGCCTTAAAAAAGCAGGAGGAAGCTCTCAGCAAAATGACTGCATGTATCAGTACATTTTCAGCTCAACGTTCCGTCTCCCAGGAGGAACAAGACCAGCAAAAGCTGCTAGACTCTGTTATCGTGTCGTCCCAAGATATACCTGTGGAACATGAAGGTGAAAATTGTTTCGAAATAGCTCAGGATCTCTTAAAAAACAAATTGCAGCTCAATCTAAACAAAACTGACGTTGTTGCTGCCTACAGAGTAGGCAAAAAGAATCCATCAGGTCTAAATCAACGGAAAATTCGCCTGAAGCTGTCTTCCCAGTTCACGAAATCCAATCTAGTCCGGACAGCTGCATCCCTACGGAAGGGATTATACATCAACGAGTGCTTGACCAGGAACAGACAGCAAATCCTCTACCGCCTGCGTCAAATCCGGCAACAAAACCCAGATGCTATTCATCAGTGCTTCGTTAGAGATGGTCTGATAAAGGTGAGAAAAACCGCAGAGGGCAAAATGTTTACTATTACTAGAGAAGAAAACCTCAACACTTTCCTCTCCCAATGTGGTTTGTCTCACCTTATCACTCCCAATGAATTAACTTAATTAACCCCCTGTCAACTAGTGGGGCTAGGTATCCTAAGTCTCCTTGGTTCATTTTCTGACTTAATTTCTAACTTACTCTTACCTAGTCATTTACCGAAATTATTTAATTGAGTTATTAAGTAGTTCTTCAGGTCTTTTTAATTATACAGTCATTACTGAACTATCTATAGTTATTAATCATTAGCTTAAATTTGCCTATGTTTATTATTCAACTTTTCTTTTATTTCATTTATTACCTAGGTTGCCTAGCCTTGCCATGCTCCCTTACTCCATTGTACCCCTGGCTTTGCCTGCATCTCAAATTGCAAATTGTTACTTACAGTGTACCTGTGAGTACTCGTAAGCAATCTACCTCATTTTTGCTCAATTTGTTTTTTTGTTTTTTTGTATTGCTTAGTCTTGCTTATATTTTTTGTTTTGTATTTCCATATCTTGTGTTTTGTATAGTCCATGTTTACATGTTTTTTCTTTAATCTCATTAATTGCCTAGGTTGCCTAGCCTAGCCATACTCCCTTACTCCATTGTACCCCTGTAAGCCCCTTTTGTGTTTGTTTTGTACAGTATTGTGTATATATTTTTCCCTATTTTATAGCTTTTTTCTAATTATTTCTGATTCTACAATCAGCTTCTTTTATGCAGTCAAGTATAGACCCAGAACTTAACCTCTTATCCACTATCTATGACAATAATCACTTTAATGATCTAAATTGCAGATATTTTGCAGCTCATGATGTAAACAATGTATTAACTCATAATCACAATATCTCTGTAATCAATTTGAACGTTAGATCCCTAGGTAAACACTTCGATGATGTTAGTGCCTTGATTGAAACTATTGGCAACAAATTCTCTTTTATTATACTTACTGAAACATGGTTGAAAGAGGATACTACTCAACTCTTTAACATGCCTAACTACTCAGCAATTCACAACTGTCGTCAACTTCAGAGAGGTGGTGGCACTGCTCTTTACTACCACCAAGAACTAACATGCCTAAAAGAAATTAGAACTAGAGACTGCTATGGGGAGTATATCTTCGCCAGCTTCAGAGTCAAGGGTGCCGAGTCTGTCCTGTCTGTGGGTGCAGTCTATAGAATTCCCAACACTGATGTGTCTGTATTCAACTCAAACCTTAGAAATCTAATACTTGATAACAGACTGAACAAAAACCACCTAATTATCGCAGGGGACTTTAATATTGACCTCTGCGAGCCAGAACACCCTACTGCTGTTAGCTTCCTCAACTGTATGAATTCCTGCCTCCTCATACCCTTAATCACTAGACCTACTAGAATCACTGATAGCACTGCCACGACTCTAGATCACATCTGGACCAACATAACCTCTCCGCTTACTTCAGGTATAATCACCGATAGCACTACAGACCACTACCCCACATTTCTCTTAACTAACATTAGCAAACCACCTCTAGAAACAAGGGAGTTAAGCTTTAGGCTGCACAATGAAACTGCTATAAACAATTTTATAACTGCTGCTGATAATGTCAACTGGGAGTCCGAATTAGGTAACATAGGGGACATCAACCTAGCAGTGCAATCTTTTCTACAAACAACTCTTAGCCTTTATAACACCCACTGTCCTAGGCTTACAAAACAAGTCACAAGCAAAAGGCTTAACAATCCTTGGCTTACAAAGGGAATACTGAAATCCATTAACAAAAAACACGACCTTGAGAAGAAGTATAGGTTAGGAATTGTCTCCAAAGAATTCTCAAAGAATTACTCATTATTGCTAACTAAGATAATTAGACGAGCCAAAACTAATTACTACGAAGATAAATTTACTCAAATAAAGAGCAACATTAAACAAACTTGGAGCACAATTTCACAAATATTGGGATCAAAGAAATCTTTAAATAACAAACCGACTCTCCTGTCTAATAACGATGGTCAGCTTTCAGCCTCTGATTCTGCTATTGAGTTCAATAGGTTCTTCTCTTCCATTGGTTCATCCCTTGCAAATGATATTCCATCTTCCAGTACTGACATTAAGGACTATCTTACAGGTAACTATCCACAGTCTCTGTACCTAAAGCCTATTAACTCCACTGACGTCAATGAGATAATCCTTTCCCTTAAAACCAAGTCTGGTGCCCTTGAGGAGATACCAACTTTAATTTACAAAAAAGCCTCCAGATCTTTAGCCCCTGCTATTGCTTTGCTCTTCAACAAGTCACTTGAACTCCAAACCTTTCCAGATATTCTAAAAAAAGCGAGAGTAACGCCTGTCCACAAATGTGGTGACCCCACAGATGTTAACAACTACAGACCTATATCAATCCTGCCAAACTTGTCAAAAATTTTTGAAAAACTTATATACAAGCAGCTTTACTCATATCTAGCCAAACTCAATATACTTAGCCCTTGCCAATATGGCTTCAGACCCAAAAAAAGCACTAACGATGCACTTATTAGTATGCTTAACTTGATTCATACAGCTCTTGATAAAAAGGAGCTCCCTGTTGGGTTATTTGTGGACCTGCGTAAAGCTTTTGATACTGTCAACCACCAAAACCTTCTTAAACTACATCATTATGGAGTCAGAGGACACTCCCTACAATACCTCGAGTCCTACCTTACTGACAGGCTCCAATATGTTTCTGTGAATAATACAATTTCTCCCACCCTACCCATCAACATTGGTGTTCCTCAGGGCAGCATACTTGGCCCTCTCCTCTTTCTCATCTACATTAATGACCTTCCAAATGCCTCCCAACACCTCAAACCAATTCTATTTGCTGACGACACAACCTTCATTTACTCCAGTCCTGACCCTCTTGCTCTAAATGCCACAGTAAATACTGAGCTAAATAAAGTCCATCTTTGGCTAACTGCCAACAAACTCACCCTTAACATTGACAAAACCTTCTATATTCTGTTTGGCAATAAATCCTCTAGTCTTATAAATCTCAAAATAAACAATACCCAAATTTGTAACAAATTAGATGGCAAATTCCTTGGCATTCTCATTGACCACAAGCTGAATTTCCAGGGACACATTCTAAATATATCAAAAAAAGTTTCAAAAACTGTGGGCATTCTTTCTAAGATCAGATATTATGTACCACGCCCTGCTCTGGTGACTCTCTATTACTCCCTTATCTATCCTTATCTCAACTATGGTATTTGTGCTTGGGGTTCTACTACCCAAAATCACTTACGTCCTCTAATTACCCAGCACAAAGCCGCTATTAGAACAATATCCAACTCTGGCCCCAGACATCACTCGGTACCCCTACTCAAATCTCTTAATATGTTAGATATTAAGTCACTGCACATTCTCTCATGTGTATTATACATATTTAAAACGCTAAACTATAATGCCAATCCTGATCTTAAAAGCTTCATAGAAGGTTGTAACAGAACCCATGAGCACCACACCAGAAATAAATACAGTTTTGATATTCCTAGAGTACGTCTTAATCAAACTAGAAATGCTCTGCAAATCAAGGGGCCCAGAATGTGGAATGACCTTCCCAACCATGTTAAAGACTGTACCTCTCTCAACCAGTTTAAGATAAAAACTAAACACTACCTAATAAATTCCCTGTAATCTACCTCACTCCTCTATTGTCAACCCATGTCTGTTATTTTCTTTTTTTTTTTTTCTTTTTTTTTAATCAACACTGTTTGTCAACCTATTGTATTTGTGCTGCTTTTTCAGTCATGTTCCCCCTTTTTTTTTATCTTTATTTGTATTTGTTCTCAACATCTTTTATTCTTTATGCTCAATTAGTATTAAGTTCTAGATATTAATGTTTTTTCTTGCCCGAAACGCATTGCGTAATAGTGGCTTTAGGCATTGTATGTACTAGCTCTATCTATATATCAATCCTTTAATGTAACATCACTTGTATGTATATACCTTACCTGAATAAACATCTGAATCTGAATCTGAATCTGAATTTTTGTTGCCCGGTGTTGCACTTTCTTCAGAACAAAGATATGCTCATTTGAAGATAAGGTCTCCATGTTTTGATATGGGACAGGTTGACCAAACTAGAGGTGCACTACAGACTTGTACAGTTAAATTTTTGAGATATATACAAGAGTTGTTACATTCTTGTACAGCCACTAGTACGCGTAGCGATTATCGCTACGAATAATTACGAGTATTAGCGTAGCGAGGAAGTAAATAACGATTTACTTCCTCGATGTCCAAGGTTCGTTTGGGTTTTCTTTTTACTGCTGCTCCCACTTGTGCAACTTTCAATGACTGGTGGATCCTGACTCCTATATAGGTTATCTTGAGATGATTTCGGGGCTTTAGTGTCCCCGCGGCCCGGTCCTCGACCAGGTCTCCACCCCCAGGAAGCAGCCCGTGACAGCTGACTAACACCCAGGTACCTATTTTACTGCTAGGTAACAGGGGCATAGGGTGAAAGAAACTGCCCATTGTTTCTTGCCGGCGCCCGGGATCGACCCCGGGACCACAGGATCACAAGTCCAGCGTGCTGTCCGCTCGGCCGACCGGCTCCTCTACCAGGCCATATATAGGTCCTTTACTTCATCAGTCCGCTGTGTGGTGTGGCAGAGGTGTTCTACATTACTTAGTGTGGCGAGAGTGTTTTGTGGTGTGGTGGAGATATTCTGCTGTAATGCTCCTCCAGTCACTCTGTTATGACATTTAACACAGTACATACAGTCAGTACTAGAAAATGAATCATAACGTCTAGCTATAAGACGTCGTGTTTCTTTAACCGGAGCAAACCTGACGAAGTTTACCTAAGCAGCCTGTCCTCTAGCAATAACACACCGTATTTTGATGTAAAAAGTCCCAAAGTCAAGATAAGTAATTATAAAAAAAAGGCACCAAAAGTCACAGCAGTTCGCAAAATTGATCTGATGTCCCTTTTTCTATTTGCGGTTCCTCGGTTAGGTTCGCTTCAGGTAATTTAGTACATCATTTTAGTGACGTCGTGAACACGCTGGAGAGGACAAGCTGGCTGAACGTTGTCCTCTCCAGCACTCTTGTCAGTTCTTTCATAACTTTGGACTGAATTCCATCTACACCTGGGGGGGGGGGGCCTTTTGAAACTTTTTAGTTCGTCGATCAATTCCTTTTCCTGATTATATCGCACGTTATTAGTATATCGCATCATTTATTCTCAATTCCTTCAAATATTTATATGAGCATATATGGATTTATATTATCATATTTATATACAATAGAGGTTAGCTTAGTCAAGCACCAAGAAAATTAACTTTGCTAACAAAGTAATTACCTAAGTGTAGTTACAGGATGAGAGCTGTGCTCGTGGTGTCCCGTCTTCCCAGTACTCTTTGTCGTATAACACTTTGAAACTACTGACGGTCTTGGCCTCCACCACCTCACTTGTCCCAACCGTCTACCTCTCTGTTTGCAAAAGTAAACTAGTAAAAAGTAAAAGAAAATATATAGCTCATATTAGATAACAAAATACCACCACCTCCGGCCAGGTTAGAGTTCACACTAAATGGCCAAACCTACAACTTGTTTTTGTTGTTTTTTATTTATATATACAAGAATTTTTACATTCTTGTACAGCCAGTAGCACACATAGTGTTTCAGGCAGGTTCTTCATCCTATTGGTCCCTGGAATATGACCCGCCAAATCATTTAACAACCAGGTAACCATTTTACTGTTGGGTGAAGAGGCTACAGTTAATAAGGACTGACACTTAGTAAATCCTCCCCGGCCAGGGGATACAAACCCAGGCTAAAGCACTCACGAAATGTCAGGCGAGAGTCTTACCACGTCGCCAAGGAAACTGCAAATCAAAGGAGCAGCATCTGCTCCTAACTCCCCATATTATTTAATATATCATCAATGAAGAGTCACAACACGTCACGGTCTAACCGCTGGATAACAGAGAAGGATAATCATACGGCATAAATTATATATTCATGTTTACTAACAATGCCAGTAATAAAATAACAAGAATAATGAAGTGTTTATTTTCCTATGATGCCAGTGATACATGTATATGATTTTTATAATATATCCATAGCATTTCTGTCAATATACTTGTGCTCTTTTTTTTTTCTCTGAGCCAATGCCTCCACCTACTGTAATGTAAATGGATAACAGTGATAATAATGTATGTATGGTTAGTAAGGATGTGTATGTATGTATAGTTGTTTTGTCTTCTGAAGGTGGAACAAAGTATGAATTATGGTTCAAATTTTGGGAAAATTTATTTAAACAAAGTTCATACCTATTATTAATGTCTAAGTTTGATATCCAATCCTCTTATAAATGACACGTATGGCCCTGCCAACATTATCTTGGACCGGTATTGAATGCTGGACAATTCACGCAATTTGTTGATTCCACGAAAAGATGCATCGACTGAAAACATTTATAACAAAAATATCCCTGGAACATAGTCTATTCTTGTAAAGCCTTGGGTGTCCCAGTATCAGTAGCTTGGGATATCCTGAGATCACTAGCTTGGTGTATCACAAGTTTATTTGACATTATAACCTTCGGTATTATGCCAGTCTCATATAAAATAGAAAAAAATGCCACTGGATCCACTACCCACTTGTCATTGTTGTATATCTTCATACAATGTTTTTCACTAAATTTTATGTCTTGCACAAGCACGTATCCATGTCTTGTACGAGCAAGTGTCCATGTCTCTTCCAAACACATGCATGTTCATGTCTCGTAGAAGTACATGTCCACATCTTGTACAAGCATGTGTACACTCCTTGTACAAGCACTTGTACATATGCTTATACAAGCATGTGTATGCTCCTTGTACAAGCACTTGTGTACATCTTATACAAGCACGTGTCTCGTACAATTACCGTATTTGTCGGCATACAAGATGCCCATAATTTACAAGGGTTTTTTGTAATATGTTTCATCATACATTTTTTTAAAGTAATTTTCAAGTGGTTCTGTAAGGAAAAACAAATGATTATGTGCATGTAAATACTGTACAATATACAGTACCTTGTATGTTCAACTGGTCGAGTACCAAAAACATGCGCCCTCTCTGTCGGCAAATACGGTACATATCTTGTACATGGAAAATCGACATGAAGTTAAAATACCCAGTCACGATTCTACATGAATGGTATGAAGAGTCCACAGCTTTGAGACGGGTGAAGTAAGTCACTCGATCGGCATATGGCAAGTCTGCTCAATGACATTTTACTCAAGTTCGAACAATTACCAGGAAATTCTGGCCACAGGCTAGTCACACACAAATCATAAATCGGTAAAAGCTGACTTCATTCATGGACTGAAAAGTGGATAAGGAGGAGTTCAACTATCCTAGTTAAGTGAAGGCAGGTCCAGGAGCTGAAGCATGACCCCTGAAATACCAGTTAGGTAGACCATTCTCAATCGAATTGAGAATGGTCCAGGACGGACGGAAACATCGTCGTCCCTTCACCTTCTAGTGTGTGGTCTGGTCAACTTACTTTAGCCACGTTATTGTGACTCCTCACCTGCACCAGTTAGGTGTATACTGGGATATAGTTCTAGAATCATTAGCACTAAAACAACTTGCTATTCTTCATCTTGATCTTGTTAGGCCCCATTTATATTATGCAGTTAAATTTCAGACTCCAGATTAGACTTTAATTCACTTAAAAGGGTACATACAAGGATGACAAAGTTGATCTCATGAATTAGAAACCTTCCATATGAGGAGAAATTATGAAAGCTTAAAAGATGTTTAACAAGGGAGGAGATTAATGAGATGTCAAATATATTAACACAAAGTAGATGACAAAATAGTATCTACAAATTACATAAACTGATTAAAAAAAAACCTGGGTAAATACTGGTTTGTAAACCGTGTTGTTAACTTATGGCCAAATTACCAGGTAACATAATAGATGTGTAATTGTTGGATTATTTCCAGTGTTAGTACGACATACATTTTACTAACATTTCCAGTGTTAGTAAGAAACTGCAGAAGGCGGTATCCTATACTTCAAACAATAAATGTATGATGAATTGGTCTGTTTTCAATTTAATTATTAGGCTTCTACACTACTTTGGGTGTCAGTAGAATTAGTGACCAAATATCAAAAATAAAAATATTCATAATAAAGTAAAATGGAGTAATATTCATCACTCCATTTTTAAGAAAAAAGAAAACAAAAAAATCTTGTGAGTTATGTTACCAAAAACATAACTTATAAGAGATCTCTCTCCTGCAATTCAAAAGTAATGACACAATGTGCTACGCAGTTTACCTACATTATCAAAGATATTTTAGCGTGTTACCACGAGACTCGACACTAAAATTTTTCATTAGTTAAATTTACTAATCAATACAATATTATATACAGATGATGTGTGATGCTCGCTTCGTGGGTTGGTGTATTTATTAGGGCAACACCGGGATTTCACAATACAGTGTGAAGATATGTATTTGAACACATTTAACACCTTTGGCCTTGTTCTAGGAGGTGGTAACTTGCTCTTCATGTAAAGGTACAGCTAAATCTGGAACAATGTAGACGTCATTTGACATGTGATGCTGCTGCTGCTGATGTGATGCAGGGTGAAGGGTGTGATGTCCAGTTTGGTGATGAAGTTGCTGATGTTGCTGAGATGCGATAATGCCTTCATGATGCTGGAGATTCTGCTGCGGGTGATGCTGGTGTTGGTGGTAGACAGGTATGGTGACGATGGATGGCTGCGACTGAATCACCTCCTGCGGGTGGGTCACAACGGGTTGCTGTATGTGGTGGCTGGAGGAATGAGGTGTGATAGGTATGAGTGCAGGAGGAAGCAGGGTTCCCTGCGGTTCGTATCCACTGCAGGGGATCTGGTCGCCCCCAGCCTTGTATGTTACTAGTGCCTTCTCACGTTGCTGAAACAAAGAGACATATCAAAAGACTGAGAATAAGAATTAGGAAAGACTTATCATCGAGCATACAGCCTGGCTCCTGTGCCAGTTAAGTCCACTACGGGCTCACCATATCCCGTACTAGTTGGAACTTTTTGTTCAGAGTAGCTGAATCTAAAACAACAACAATTTATCATCACCAATCATGCAATTCTTAGCCCTGTGGCTGTGACACAGCTTCTCTGGTCGTCTAGCCTCCTTTCCAAGCACTGTAATGAGGCCAAGAGAAGGAGAATGACAGCTCACATGAACCTAGGCCAGGCCACCAGGTACTCTGCCCCAGAGTGAAGGAACAAAGAGGACCTCTGGTAGCCAAGGCACAAGTGCTTAACCTTGTTACCCGAGAACGATCTATCTTAACACGTTAGCGTTCTCGTGATGTTAAAATGCGTCATCCATACTCTAACAGTAAATGTTCCAATGATGCTAAAATATGTCATCCATCTCAAAATTCCTGAAAGTCACTTTTTAATTTTTTTTTTTTTTTGGGGGGGGGAGCAGTGTGTGTGGGAAAAACCTGCTGGGATCGATATAAGAGGAGACTACCAGGGACTTGTACTGAACTAAATTAAAAAATTACTGTCTGCAAATTAATTCAACTAAAATCTCTAGCTAGGGTTGTAAATCCTAGATCCTCTTTTCCTAATGACAGATTGTGGGCTGTAAGGGACAGGTGGGGAGAATGACTTAGTTGATAGAAGTTCCAATCCACCTGTAGACAGGGATCTCACATCAGCTTGTATTTTATACAAGGATAAGATTTGATAAATTCAGTTATCTGACTGAACACTGGCTCTGTTTAAATCAGGGATTTAAACATACATAGTCTAACCTAGCACCATAACTTAACAGCCAATAGATTCTTATACTATAAACAACAAATTAATTGTAAAAGTATAAATAAATGACCTTAAATGGAGTCTTAATACTATTAGCTTAGTACTAGAAATTATATTCAATTAAATGAACTTATATGATAACTTATAAATAACTAAGCAAGCAATTGATAACTTAATTTATATATTCAAATATATATGCAGACATATTCACTTTATACAGTTAGCTTGACTGAATCTCTTCCAAGACTGTGGACACTTGTGAGGTTTTTACTTATTGAGGCTGAATTCTTTTCTGACAGAATGGACACTCATGAGGTTCAGTGCTTGGATAAGATTCACAGCTACACTACAATTTTAATAAACGTACCGATGAATGAGGCTTAGCCTCGCTTTTTAACCAACAGACAGATTTATAGGATATTAAAGCTACACAAGCATACAATTGGCCAATCATACACCAAATAACCTTCAATATACTTCTCTGCCAGTCGGGGTGCCTGTCTGACAAGTTTGCCAGACTGATTAACTCTCTCTTGTTGAGTTTAGGCACGATATTTTGCTACAGCGTTGCTGTATGATGATCTGGTAGCGTTGCTACGTGATTTTTCTTTAACTGCGTTGCAGAAGAATGATATGATAAAGATAAAGAATGAAGATGGAGGAAACCGTGTCACCGTGATCTCCACTATACACTCTTATTTTATGAATGTTCTATGATTTTCCTTGTAGATATTGTCCAGGTACTCCCCCAGTTCTAGAGAGTATTCACTGGCGATAAAAAAATATTAGATAAGGTGTCCTTGAGCTGGTAATGTTCGCTAAGGATCAGTCACTTGTTCACTCATTTGTAAACAAACGCGGAGTGCCGCTGGGCTTGTTGGTGGGCGCTTCTCTCCCCCCCATCGCCCTGCCATGCTCTCTGAGCACGGTAGCCTTCAATGAATATTGATTGATTATTTTTTACAGTCTAGACTTATGATTGAAATAAGATGTGATTATAATATAATTAGATATAAGATTTAAAGATTATAAGTAGTATTTGAAAGTACCACTGAATCTTATTAAGGATTCGATTTTTAATCCTACCGGATGTTGAATCAATGTTCCAATAGTTTTTTAATTAAGAAGTCCTTCTAGAAGCTTCTGGATCCTTGAAAGATCATGTACAAAGTCACGTAGGCATCAAAAGGGCCCCTGTTGCGTACGTGTTCATGGTGCCATTGTCATCCAGGATCAAGCTATAATGAATCTTTGATACGATTTAGATATGATTTTGATATGATTTAGATATGATATAGAAATTATACATTTCTTAGATGATTATTAGATATGGTGGGTAAAAATTTCCCACATCTTCCAGAGGGAGAGAACTGGCACAGAGTCCAATACTTAGGACAATAGTAACCATATGTATTTATTTACTCTCCATTGGATTGATAATACAAGTGCAAATTTTGCTTGCACTTTTGTGCTGCTGTCCGTTGTGGACGATTGTGTCTGTTAGGAGTCTGTGGGTCTTGTGGAGTTAGAGTGTCTTGAGGTCTCTCAGGATCTAACTGCAGCTGGCTCACTGATTCCATGTGGATGAGTTTGTCCAATGTCTTCAGGGAAGTTGTTCCTTTAGACAGGATTTTGACTATTCTCAAAATCCCCTGACTATCTGGATGGACTGAGACAACTTTACCTAATGGCCAGTCAGCCCTAGGGCCATCACTGTCTACCAAGACAATATCGCCAGGTTGGAGATTAGCTATATTATGGGGGACATTGGCCCCATAGTGATGTTCTCGTAGAGATGTAAGATATTCTTTTGTCCAAACATCATTCCATTTATGGATTATGCTGGACAGATGCTTATACCCCTGAACCAACTCGCTCTGACCCACATATGAGGGATCTCTGATCTCATCATCCACTAGAGATGGTACTGGAGTCAGAAGTCTTCCATACATTAGGTGGGCAGGACTTAATGGCTCATGTTGAGTAGGATCCTCAGACAAGTAAGTCAACGGCCGGTTATTCACCCTTGATTCTATTTCCGTGATTACTGTCTGGAGCTCTTGAAGATTGATTTTCTGACGGTGTAGAGATTTTCTCAAGGATCTTTTTACAGTTCCTATTAACCGTTCATAAAATCCTCCGTGCCATGGGGCTCTCGGAGGGATAAATTTCCATCTGCAATGACGCTGTTCCAGTGTGGAAGTAACTGCAGGATGGGAACAGATTTCCCGTAGACATGCTTCTCCAGCTACCAAGTTTGCTCCGTTATCTGAAATCATCAGCTTAGGGCATGATCGGCGTGCTGCGAATCTGCGGAAAGCTTGAATAAATGATTGAGCAGTCATATCGGGTGTTACCTCTAGATGTACTGCCCTGGTGGTAGCACAGGTGAACAGACAGATGTATGCCTTGATAGGTTGCTTATCTGCAGTCCCTGTTAGATATATTGCTCCTGTATAATCTACTCCTGTCGTTTCGAAAGGTTGTAGATGGACCACTCGTTCCTTTGGTAGGGGTGGTGGCCCTGGATAAGAGCAAGTTTTTGCATCGTACCTTCGGCATATCATGCAATTCTTCAAGATTGATTTGACTGACTGTCTTCCCTGAGGAATCCAGTACTGCTGTCTGATTTGTGTGAGTGTGTCTAACACTCCTCCATGTTTGATGATTTGTTGATGTGTATGCAACACAATCAACCTTGTGATCCAATGATTTTTTGGTAAAAGCCATGGATGCACCGTATCTAGATTGATATCTGCGTGTTTAAGTCTCCCTCCACAACGCAGAATGTTGTGATTTTCTTGGTCTATCCACAGACCGAGATTGTGTTTTAACTTATGCGGAAGATTTTCATAGTTATTCCCATAAGTTTCTCTCTGGGCTTGTCTTACCCAATAGATAAGTGCATCAGGAAAAGTGTATTTTATACCTTTTTTCCTGAGATAATGAAACACGTTCTGTGTTACATTGATTAATTTGATGAGCGAGGAGTAACGAGTACAATCCAAGACTGATATTTGAGCTTGCTGCCTGGTGGTAGTTATGGTTTGTGTCGTAATGACGTGTGGCTTTTGTTCAGGCCAACTACCATTCACTAACCATCGAGGCCCATGAAACCAAATATCTGCCTTTGCAAACTGTTTAAATGTCATACCTCTTGATAAGAGATCAGCTGGATTATCCTTTGTTGGTACATGCAACAATTGAAAGCCTGCGGAAATTTCTTTAATTTCCGAGACGCGATTTTTTACATATGGAGTTGGACAGTTGTCGTTTCGTACCCATTGTAAGACAGCTTCATTGTCAGACCATATAATGACATCTTTGATGTTCATGGTAGACAAGACTTGTTTGATATGCACAGCTAAGCGTGTACCAGTTAGCAGTGCTGTTAGTTCCATCTGAGGCAAAGTCCTCTTTTTTAATGGAGCGACTCTGGCCTTAGAGGTGATAAGATATGATTGATTAGAAGTCACTAAGTAAGCACAAGCTCCAAAAGCTTTGGCTGACGAGTCTGCGAATACATGTAGTGATACTTCTTCATTTTCCTCGACTATGTGTCTCGGAAAGATTATCTTTTCAACTAAAGTTTGTTCTTGAGCCACTTCCATCCAAGCTTTTTGTAACTGGATTGGTAGTGGATCATCCCAACCAACCTTAGCCTTCCATGCTTCTTGCACCAATAAACGCCACTTGATAGTCAAAGGATTTAGTAGACCAAGTGGGTCGAATACTTTACTAACTTGTGAAAGCAAATCCCTTTTTGTAGTGATGATGTAATTTACTGGCACAGATTTGATCAATATTGTGTCCGAGATTAAATCCCAATCCATACCTAACACCTTTTGTGATTCTGGTACATGATATTCAGGGTAATCTCTTGCTATTTGATTATTCAATGTTGCATTATTAGAGGCCCAAGATTGTAGTGGCATGTTGGCACCTTGTAGCTCCTTGTTGGCCTCTTGATATAATTGTAACAGTTCAGTAGTACTGTTAACTGTCCCTTGAAAATTATCTACATATAGATTTTGACTGATTTCAGTCTTACAGGGACTTGATGATTTCTTCAGATGAGTATCTAGAGTTGCTTGCAACAGAAATGGACTGCTTGTCGCGCCGAAA